AAGACGGCCTTCCGCAGGTGCCCAGGGAGTTGCGCACACCTGACATCCTGTGCCACGTCACCAGAGCCTGGAGGCTGCCTGCTGCGGGATGCCACTTACGAGGCACTGCTGGAGAAGACTTAACACCGTAGAGGGGGAGGACGCTCGTGGCGCACACCTGCCACCCTAGTGTTCAGGAGGCCACGATCTGAACATCATGGCTTGAAGCTAGCAGTTTGAAGGCGGCAGAATCCATGAGACTCATCTCCAGTTAGCCACCAAAAGCAGGCAGTGACACTGTGGCTTAGGTGGTAGAGAACTAGCCTTGAGCAAAACAAATGCTCAGGGACAGTGTCCAGGCCCTGAGTTCAAGGCCCAGGACCGGTACACACTTACACAAACCACCCAGTCAAAAAAAAACTCCAAAAGGTGTTGGGAATGCGGCTCAGTGCTAGAGTGTGTGCCTAGCATACATGAAGCCCTGGGCTCCGTTCCTCAGTATCCCATACACAGAAAAGGCTGCAAGTAGTGCTGTGGCTCAAGTGGTAGAGAGCTAGCCTTGAGAAAAAGGAGCCCAGGGACAGCACCCAGGGCCTGGGTTCAAGCCCAAGACTGGAACAAAACAAGCAAAACCAAAAAAAACCCGGAAAGCTATACAGGTAGAGAGGTTGAACCCCAAAGGGTGTTTGTGCTGAGGAAGCTCACGTGATTTTTTAGATTGTTGATTAAAATTACTTCCTTAGTGTTGAGGGTTGGAGCCAGATCATTTTTATGGTAAAATGTTCTCTACCATGCCGGATTCCTAGTACATTTTCTTCTGTGCTGGTCCTGGGGCTTGAACTCAAGGCCTGTGTGCTGTCCCTGAGCTCTTTTGTTCAAGGCTAGCACTCTACCACTTAAGCCATGGCTCTACTTCTGGCTTTTTTTGGTGGTAAATTGGAGATGAGGGTCTCATAGGCTTTCCTGCCTTGGCTGGCTTTGAACTGCAATCCTCAGACTTCAGGCTCCTGAATAGGATTGCAGGTGTGAGCCACTGGTACCTGGCTCATTAGTGACCCAGTGCAAAGCTGCCATTTTTTTTGGTTGTAGGGTTTGTAGTGGGGGCCTGGGCGCTATTCCTGAGCTTTTCAGCTCAAGGCGAGGTCTCTACCACTTGAGCCACAGCACCAATTTTGGTTTTCTGATGGTTAATTGGCGCTAAGAGTCTCATGGACTTTCCTGCCAGGGCTGGCTTTGATCCGCACTCCTCAGACCTCAGCCTCCTGAGTAGCTGGGATGACAGGCGTGAGCACCAGTGCCCGGCTGGAACCACCATTCTTATCTGTAGGGAGCTGCTGAGGGGCAGGTGGGTAGACACACACTCTGAGGACGCGGGGAGGCTGCCAGTGCCGGCGTGGCCCGGTGTCCTCAGTGTGCATCTGGTGAATGCATTGAGAGGAAGACTCACTAACTTAGCACCAAGATCCTGATCTGAGGCCCAGAGAGAAGGGGCCGAGCAAGGCTAGAGACGAAGGCAAAGGGGCTTCAAGGTGGAGCAGGTGGGAAGAGCAGCACAGGCCGCTCCTGCTGTCGCTAGCATTGTGGCACTTCTCGGCCCCACGTTTACAGAGACTGGCGTGTCTGGGAGGACCAGCTCAGCGTCCCATCATGGGTTCCAGTGGGAGGAAACTCCGCCGTGTCAAGGGCTGGCCACTGAAGACTGCCGGCTTGTGTTCGGGGCCCTGGTTGAGGACGGTGCCTGTTTCCCTTGCAGTCTGGCTTGGTTTTCTGGGACAGCCCGTGTTGCGGGTCCTTGGGGTTTTTCTCAGTGCCGTGTGCTGGCGCCTGTTGGCTTCTGGGCTAGCCAGCGGGGCTGGTGGGACATCTGCCTCTCATCGTAGCACATGGCTGTCTTGGACTTGCTCCCTGCTTGGTGGTAACAGGGTAGGCAGGTGAACTGCTCCTGGTGGGAATAGTCTCAGGCAGGGGTGTGGGAGGCCAGGAATGCTAGGGTATTGGACAGAAGCAATGCTGGGCACGCTAATCTCGGGAAAATGTGTAATGTTTTGTCATATCTCAGGTTAGTAGATAATCACGGCCCCAGAGACGTTCCTTTCTTCACCGTGTATAAATGATGACACAGCCCTGGAGTTTATTTGATCTGCTGCAGCAAAAGGAGACATCTCTCTCTGTTGTGCCTGCAGGAGGAGAGAGGACTAGGGTTTGGGGCTGGCAAGAACTAAACCCCTCACCTGGAGTGGCTACTGGGCTCAAGAATGTGGACTGTGTGGCTCACTGGCATAACTGCCAGATCGATGGTTGTGTTGTCCTTACTAGGATTCCCTTGAACACCAGTCAACTCTTACAAAAAGCATCCATAGCTGGGGGCTGGTGGCTCATGCCTGTCATCCTAGCGACTTAGGAGGCTGAGATCTGAGGGTTGTGGTTCAAAGCCAGCCAGCTCAGAAGTGGTGCTATGGCTCAAAGTGGTAGAGCGTAGCTGGGCACCAGTGGCTCATGCCTGCAGTCCTAGCTACTCAGGAGGCTGAGATCTGAGGATTGTGGTTCAAAGCCAGCCCAGGCAAGAATGTCCATGCAACTCTTATTTCCAGTTAACTACCTGAAAAATGGATGTAGTGCTGTGGCTCAAGTGGTAGAGCGCTCACCTTGAGCTGAAGAGCTGAGGGACAGCGCCCAGGCCCAGAGTTCAAGCCTCAGGACTGGCAAAAAATAAATAAAAAATAAAAAAAAATCCACAGACGCGGAGGTGTGATGCATCCCTGTGACCACAGTGTCCCCGGAAGGTCTTGTTTCCCTGTGACCCCAGTCTCCCCAGAAGGTCTTGTTTCCCTGTGACCCCAGTCTCCCCAGAAGGTCTTGTTTCTAGGCTAGCCTGGGCAAAAAGTTGGACTTCCTCTCAACCAACAAGCTGAGTGTGATGTGGTATGTTTATAATCCTAGCTATGAAGAAGAATAGGTAGGAGGATTTTGGTCTGAGGCGGGCTAACCAGTGAGACTGCAAAAGTGACATAAAAGGGCAGCAGGCGTGGCTCGAGCTGTAGAGGAGGTACCGAGCTTAAACCCCAATGCCGCCAAAACAACAAACCATGACGATACAGCCCTACCGTTTACCCTCCCGGAAGCTCCTGGCCTTCAGTCCTTCACTATACACACAGTCCCAAACGAGTCTGTCTGGATGTGGGCCTCTGGACGTGGCCATCTCCTAGACCCAGCTGGGGTGTCCGGCCTGAGGCTGCCAGGTGGGAGCTGCCCAGGTTGGTGGGCCAGGGCAGGCCAGTCCCCGGTGGCCAGCTGCCTCTGCTGTCCTCCCCAGAAGGAAGGTGTTTTCTGTAGCCATTGCACAGCAGTGGGGTTTGCTTGCGCATAGGCCCAGGAGACAGGGCATGGGTGGGGGGTGTCTTGGGTCTTCTGAGGGACCTGAATTACAAGTGAGGCTACCAGACCTGGGCCCTGGTGCCCTCCAGGGGTGTGACCCCGAAGTTGGCTTCTGTCCCTCAGAGCCTCCAGGGCAGGCCCCGGAGAAGTCTTCCTGGAGCGGCCTGGCCCTCAGGACCCACAGAGCCAGCCATTCAGCCATGTCTTGATAGAAATAACTTTATTTAGAAATCTGTGGTGTGTGATGTGAGGGGGCCATGCAGACAGCGGAAGCAGGCCTGCTCCTTCTGTTGTAAGTCAGCACCCTTGGATGCCACCCGCACTGCACACGGGCCCTGGACACAGGCGTTGACGGGAGGAGCATCGCCCTGTAGAGATGGAGAGCGGCCTGTGTGTGGCAGGATGCCTTTTCGCAGCACACAGGCAGGCCTGACGTCTCCTGGGGGGCACACTTGGAGATGTGTAGCGTGGCATCGAAATACAGCACTTCAGTTACAAGTCACCACTTCCCTAGAAATACCACTAGCTGCGTAGTTAGAGTCGCTAATTCTAAGATGCAGAGCAGTCTTTGGGCCTGGGGTGTCTGCCAGTGTGGGGCCTGACCCCGTGGCCCCACCGAGTCAGGGCTCTGCCGGCTGCCGGACACCATGCACACGGGGAAGGCTGGAGACTCCAGGCAACAGGGGCACATCCATGTCTGCCTGGGAAAGCACGGCTGGCTGGCCTGGAGCGGCCGCGGGAGCAGGGGCGGGTGTGCGCATGCTCAGAACACAGATGGGCGTGCATGCTCCGCTGTGAGGTGGTGCGGAGCCCGGGCTGTGGGCCGTGCAGGGGCCACGTGTGGGCCAGACGCTCTGGGGCCCTGTGTGCTGCCCCTGCCCTGCTGCTGTGCTGGAGTGCCTGCTCCTCTACCTGTCACGGGTTGTTCCCAAGCAGGGGTGGAGGGCACAGGCAGGGCAGGGCCAGGAGCCCCCACAGGGACACAGGCTGCTTCCTTGCCTGCGGGCACCTGGGGCCTGGCAGGCTGTGTGGGGTCCCCATGGGGCGGGCTGAGGGTGAGTGGGAGCGTACACCTGGCAGGGCCGCGTCTTCTAGAAGCCAAGGGCTCCCATGGAAGGTTCCAGGCCGCTTGGAGCCTGTGGGTACAGAAGTCAGCTTTGGTCAGTTTTCCCACTGAGCAGCGAGGACACCCAGCAAGCAGCTGAGTGTAGGATCTTCTGAGTCAGGCTGGGGTGTTGAGAGTCTGAAGAAGAGATGACAGCCGTTTGTCCAGGACAGACAGGTCGAGATGAAGCTCTGGGGAAGTTTACTTACTCCGTTTCCATGTTAAGTATTATCTTTTCTTTCGAAGACAGGGTCTTGCCATGCAGTACAGGCTCACCATCTTCTCCCTCAGCCTCCCATTGCTGGGACTGCAGGCATACACCACGACTTCTGGTTTGTCTGGGCTTCACGTTTAAATTCTGTCCCATCTGGTGCCAGGGCTGGGACCGGCTCTGCCCTCCGTGAGGCCCTCGGGGCTGGAGCCAGGCGAGTTTCCCCGGCCTCCAGCTACAGAACCTGAGAAGCTGCCCTAGTGGCTTCTTGGTCCCTGGCTGCTCCCTGCAGGTCTGGTCCGGCTGCACCCGCACCCGCGCCCTGCCTGCCCCAGCGGCAGCCTTGGCTACTGGAACGTGGCTTTCATCCTCCGCAGCTTGTCCTGGATCTTCCGGGGGTGCCTCTCGCTGGGGGTCTGGTGGGAGTTGGCTCTGCTATCTGCGGCTAGGATGGAAACGTCAGCCCCACTGAAGCGGGCGATCCTCTGCTTGAGGTGAGCCTGGAGCTTGGGGTCCGGGCTGAACGTGTAAGGCGTCTCCTGGAAGGCATGCACCTGGCTGGCCACCTTGGCGATGTTCCTGCAGCGGAGAAGGGCAGATGCTCATTGTTCTGTGTTCTCAGGGACGGCTCAAACCAGCTTTTCCAAAATTCACAAGGGGCTCCAGAGGGTCTGATAAGAACAAGCCCCGGGCTGGCAGCCTCAGGTTTGGAGGAAGGCCCGAGCCAGACGAGGGCTCTCTGCTGGCTGAGCCTCAGAGCAGCCCAGCGTGTACCTCCTGGGGCACAGCCTGCTGCCACAGGCCGGCACACCAGGGGCAGGCAGCACCCTTTCTCCAGTGGGGACCGGGAGGCTCACTGAGTGGAGGAAGAGCCAGTTTTGCTCATGAAAGTGGACACAAAACACAGACCATTGCCCCTCTCCTTTCCAGGTAGGGCCATTATAACTACATAAAAAGGAGATCATGCACTGAGCGGTGAGAGCCACGGTGGCAGGGTCCTCTGGGCCCTGCCTGCCCACTGAGGCCACAGCCTGACCCTGTGGATGATGGAGGCAGGAGGGTGGGAGCGGGGATGACGGGCAGAGGATGACTCTGGAGGGAGCACATCTCTAGGCTGTGAGCAGGGGTGCATCCCCAACAGCCTGGCCTCTAAGGAGCAGTGGTGCCTGAGGCAGCCGTAGACTTCCCTGGGCCAAGGGCAAGCCAGGCCCAAGCACTATGCAGCATGGTGGTGTCTGCACCACAGCAGTATGCACACTTGTGTGCAGTGTGCTATCTGCACAACAGCAGAGTGTGCACTGCCAGGCAGTGTGGTGTCTGTACACCACAACAGTGTGCACTGCCATGCAGTGTGGTGTCTGTGCACCACAACAGTGTGCACTGCCGTGGAGTGTGCTATCCATGCACAACAGCAGAGTGTGCACTGCCGTGCAGTGTGGTGTCTGTGCACAGCACTGTGTGCACTGCCATGGAGTGTGGTGTCTGTACACAGCAGTGTGCGCATGCCATGCATTGTGGTGTCTGTGCAACACAGCAGTGTGTGCACTGCCGTGCAGTGTGGTGTCTGTGCAACACAGCAGTGTGCGCATGCCATGCATTGTGGTGTCTGTGCAACACAGCAGTGTGTGCACTGCCGTGCAGTGTGGTGTCTGTGCAACAGCAGTGTGCGCGCTGCCATGCAGTGTGGTGTCTGTGCAACACAGCAGTGTGTGCACTGCCGTGCAGTGTGGTGTCTGTGAACAGCACTGTTTGCACTGCCGTGCAGTGTGGTGTCTGTACACAGCAGTGTGTGCACTGCCGTGCAGTGTGGTGTCTGTGCACAGCAGTGTGCGCGCTGCCGTGCAGTGTGGTGTCTGTGCACAGCAGTGTGGGCACTGCCGTGCAGTGTGGTGTCTGTGCACAGCAGTGTGCACTGCCGTGCAGTGTGGTGTCTGTGCATAGCAGTGTGCACGCTGCCGTGCAGTGTGGTGTCTGTGCACAGCAGTGTGGGCACTGCCGTGCAGTGTAGTGTCTGTGCACAGCAGTGTGCACTGCCGTGCAGTGTGGTGTCTGTGCATAGCAGTGTGCGCGCTGCCGTGCAGTGTGGTGTCTGTGCACAGCAGTGTGGGCACTGCCGTGCAGTGTGGTGTCTGTGCATAGCAGTGTGCGCGCTGCCGTGCAGTGTGGTGTCTGTGCACAGCAGTGTGCGCACTGCCGTGCAGTGTGGTGTCTGTGAACAGCACTGTTTGCACTGCCATGCAGTGTGGTGTCTGTGCACAGCAGTGTGTGCACTGCCGTGCAGTGTGGTGTCTGTGCACAGCAGTGTGCGCGCTGCCGTGCAGTGTGGTGACTGTGCACAGCAGTGTGTGCATTGCTGTGCAGTGTGGTGTCTGTTCACCAGAGCAGTGTGTGCATTGCCTTGCAGGTCTTGCGTGTGCTGGGCCTGGGACCCAGATCGGTCACACAGGGAGGAGCCCAGAATTGGCCAGGGCTCCCAGGTTGCAGTGGACAGGGGTTTCAAGTTAAGCCAGAAGCAGAGGCTCCCTGAGCACTGGGCCCAGCTACAGGCCGGCCGCCCCACTGCTCCAATGAGGTTGCGTTACGGAGGGTCTGGACCCCACCGGATCCAGTGAGTCTGCTGGGGTCTGTGTTGGGACCGTGGGTACCATTCACGTGGGAAGAACACCGGGAAGCCCTCTGTGCAGAGTGTGTGGAGTTACCTGAGTGAGTGGGGGCGGTACTGGACAAGGGAGTGCTCGGAGGGCGAGGCTGAGCCCGGCCGGTGGCCGCAGGTGGGGGTCACGCACCTGAGCTTGCTCCACCGGTGGGCTCCGTTGGTCATGGTGAAGCCACCGGTCTCCAGCTGCTGGATGTGCATGGCCAGGAGGCGGGCCGAGGGCAGCGTGGGCTGGGCCCGGAAGCGCCGTCCTTCCATCAGACACAGGCTGTCGCTCTTCAGGAAGACCTAGCCACCCCACCAGGGTGCCACAGGAAGACAGGAGCGGTGGGCCCGGGAGGCCCCTGCCCAGCCGTCCCTGCCGGCGCCCCCTGCACTGCCGTGGCCCAGCGTTCTGGCCAAAATGGAGCTGGAGGCCCGGGTGAAAGCCCAGACCTGACACTTGGCTGGCACAGGGTGCTGTCAGCCACAGAGGCTCGTGCCTGGTCCTCTCTCGGGCTGGCTCTAGAAAGAGCCAGGAGGGCCAGAGACTGCTCAGCTGCTGCAGGTGCCGAGTCTGCAGGCGTGGTGATCCACAGCAGAGGAGGAGCAAGAACGCACTGTACTTCCCTGCTCCACACGCTCTGCACGTGCTCACACGTGCCCTCCCCCACTGCACACACACACTGCACACACGTATCTCCACACACCGCACACACGTACCTCCACACACACTGCACACATGTACCTCCACACACACTGCACACATGTACCTCCACACACTTCACACGTACCTCCACACACTGCACATGTGCCTCCACACACACTGCACACACGTACCTCCACACACACTGCACACACGTACCTCCACACACTGCACGTGTGCCTCCACACACACTGCACATGTGCCTCCACACACCGCACACACATACCTCCACACACCACACACACGTACCTCCACACACACTGCACACACGTACCTCCACACACACCACACACATGTACCTCCACACACTGCACACGTGCCTTCCCACACACTGCACATGTAACTCCACACAATGCACACATGTAGCTCCACACACACTGCACACACGTACCTCCACACACACACTGCACACACGTACCTCCACACACTGCACACACGTACCTCCACAACACACTGCACATGTGCCTCCACACACTGCACATGTAACTCCACACACTGCACACACGTACCTCCACAGACACTGCACACACGTACCTCTACACACTGCACACGTACCTCCACACACTGCACACGTACCTCCACACACTGCACACACGTACCTCCACACACTGCACACACGTACCTCCACAACACACTGTACACACATACCTCCATACATACACTGCACACACGTACCTCCACACACTGCACACATGTACTTCCACACACTGCACACATGTACCTCCACACACTGCACACAACGTACCTCCACAACACACTGCACACATATACCTCCACAACACACTGCACACAGTACCTCCACACACTGTACACACGTACCTCCACACACTGCACACATACCTCCACACACTGCACACGTAACCACACACACACTGCACACATACCTCTACACACTGCACACACATACCTACACACACCACACACGTACCTACACATACTGCACACATGTAACTCCACACACACTGCAACACTGCACACATGTACCTCCACACACTGCACACAGTACCTTCACATACTGCACACATACCTCCACACACTGCACACATACCTCCACACACCACACACACCTCCACACACTGCACACACGTAACTCCACACACACTGCACACACGTAACTCCACACACACTGCACACACGTAACTCCACACACACTGCACACACATACCTCCACACACCACACGTACTTCCACACATACACTGCACACACGTACCCCTATACACTGCACACACATACCTACACACTGCACCCACGTACCTCCACACACACTGCACACACACACTCTACACACACTGCACACACGTACCTCCACAGCTTTGAGCTCCTCCATGACCTCGGCGATTTTTGCAGGAAGGATTCTCCAGGCCTGAGATGGAGGCACAGGTAAGCCCCTGGCTGCTGATGCCCACCGGTGTCCACGCCCCAGCCCACTACCCGGGTGAGCCCCTGGCTGCCGGTGGCCACCTGCGTCCATGCCCCAGCCCAGGCCTGAGGTGGAGGCACAGGTGAGCCCCTGGCTGCCGGCGTCCACCCGCGTCCACACCCCAGCCCACTGCCTGGGTGAGCCCCTGGCCGCCGGTGCCCACCCACATCTGCACCCCAGCCTACTGCCCACCTGCGTCCACACCCCAGCCTACTGCCCACCCGCGTCCACACCCCAGCCCACTGCCCGGGTGAGCCCCTGGCCGCCAGTGCCCGCCTGCATCCATGCTCCAGCCCACTGCCCACCCATGTCCACGCCCCAGCCCATTGCCCGGGTGGCGCACAGGGCACTGCCTTGCAGATGGGTGCTCCAGCCCTCCTAGGATCTGCATGGCCGTTGCAAAGTTCCTCTGCTCATAACAACATTTCGCAATCAGCAGGAATTTGGACAGCAAGTTCACCTGCAGCTGAAAGGAGAAAAATGACAGCAATTTTTTTTGTGTTCATTACTTGGGCTTGATCTTGGGGCCTCTTGCTCTTGCTTGGCTCATAGCTGGTGTTCTACTACTTGAGCCACACCTCCAATTCTGTCTGTTTGTTTTTTTTAGAGTTATTAGATGTGTTTCTCAGTTTTGTCTGATCAGACTGACTCCCAGACACAGTGCTCAGATCTGTCTCCTGGGTAGCCGGGTTATATGTGGGTGAGCGTGGTCCATGCCGTGGGTGAGCGTGCCCCTGCCGTGGGTGAGCGTGGCCCCTGCCGTGGGTGAGCGTGCCCCTGCCCTGGGTGAGCGTGCCCCTGCCGTGGGTGAGCGTGGTGCCTGCCGTGGGTGAGCGTGCCCCTGCCGTGGGTGAGCGTGTCCCTGCCGTGGGTGAGCGTGGTCCATGCCGTGGGTGAGCGTGCCCCTGCCGTGGGTGAGCGTGCCCCTGCCGTGGGTGAGCGTGTCCCTGCCGTGGGTGAGCGTGCCCCTGCCATGGGTGAGCGTGCCCCTGCCGTGGGTGAGCGTGGCCCTGCCGTGGGTGAGCGTGCCCCTGCCGTGGGTGAGCGTGGCCCCTGCCGTGGGTGAGCGTGGCCCTGCCATGGGTGAGCGTGCCCCTGCCGTGGGTGAGCGTGCCCCCTGCCGTGGGTGAGCGTGCCCCCTGCCGTGGGTGAGTGTGCCCCTGCCGTGGGTGAGCGTGGTCCATGCCGTGGGTGAGCGTGCCCCTGCCGTGGGTGAGCGTGGCGGCTGCCGTGGGTGAGCGTGGCCCCTGCCGTGGGTGAGCATGGCCCTGCCATGGGTGAGCGTGCCCCTGCCGTGGGTGAGCGTGCCCCCTGCCGTGGGTGAGTGTGCCCCTGCCGTGGGTGAGCGTGGTCCATGCCGTGGGTGAGCATGCCCCTGCCGTGGGTGAGCATGCCCCTGCCGTGGGTGAGCGTGCCCCTGCCGTGGGTGAGCGTGGCCCCTGCCGTGGGTGAGCCTGGCCCTGCCGTGGGTGAGCATGCCCCTGCCGTGGGTGATGCCGTGGGTGAGCGTGCCCCTGCCGTGGGTGAGCGTGGTCCCTGCCGTGGGTGAGTGTGTCCCTGCCGTGGGTGAGCGTGCCCCTGCCGTGGGTGAGCGTGCCCCTGCCGTGGGTGACCGTGCCCCTGCCGTGGGTGTGTGCCCCTGCCGTGGGTGAGTGTGCCCCTGCCGTGGGTGAGTGTGCCCCTGCCGTGGGTGAGCGTGGCCCCTGCCGTGGGTGAGTGTGCCCCTGCCGTGGGTGTGTGCCCCTGCCGTGGGTGAGCGTGCCCCTGCCGTGGGTGAGCGTGTCCCTGCCGTGGGTGAACGTGCCCCTGCCGTGGGTGAGCGTGCCCCTGCTGTGGGTGAGCGTGCCCCTGCCGTGGGTGAGCGTGCCCCTGCCGTGGGTGAGCGTGTCCCTGCCGTGGGTGAGTGTGCCCCTGCCGTGGGTGAGCGTGGCCCCTGCCGTGGGTGAGTGTGGTGCCTGCCGTGGGTGAGCGTGCCCCTGCCGTGGGTGAGCGTGTCCCTGCCGTGGGTGAGCGTGCCCCCTGCCGTGGGTGAGCGTGCCCCTGCCGTGGGTGAGCGTGCCCCTGCCGTGGGTGAGCGTGCCCCCTGCCGTGGGTGAGCGTGGCCCCTGCCGTGGGTGAGTGTGCCCCCTACTGTGGGTGAGCGTGCCCCTGCCGTGGGTGAGTGTGGTCCATGCCGTGGGTGAGTGTGCCCCTGCCATGGGTGAGCGTGTCCCTGCCGTGGGTGAGTGTGGTCCCTGCCGTGGGTGAGCGTGGCCCCTGCCGTGGGTGAGCGTGCCCCCTGCTGTGGGTGAGTGTGGTCCATGCCGTGGGTGAGCGTGGTCCATGCCGTGGGTGAGCGTGCCCCTGCCGTGGGTGAGCGTGCCCCTGCCGTGGGTGAGCGTGCCCCTGCCGTGGGTGAGTGTGTCCCTGCCGTGGGTGAGCGTGGTTCCTGCCGTGGGTGAGTATGTCCCTGCCGTGGGTGAGCGTGCCCCTGCCATGGGTGAGCGTGGCCCCTGCCGTGGGTGAGCGTGCCCCCTGCTGTGGGTGAGTGTGGTCCATGCCGTGTGCCTGGCTCTCCGGCTGTGTGGGGAAAGGATGACCGGCTTTCCTTGGCTGGAGTTTGACCCTGTGGGGCTGCCTACCTTGGAGGGGGAGCTGTTTATGCTGGAGGTGGGGCCGTCTACCTTGGAGGGGGGGGGCCGCCTACCTTGGAGGGGGCTGTCTGCCTCGGAGGGGGGCTGTCTACCCTGGAGGGGGGGCTGTCTACCTTGGAGGGGGGCGTCTACCTTGGAGGGGGGGCTGTCTACCCTGGAGGGGGGCTGTCTACCTTGGAGGGGGCTGTCTACCCTGGAGGGGGGCTGTCTACCTCGGAGGGGGGCTGTCTACCTCGGAGGGGGGCGTCTACCTCGGAGGGGGGGCGTCTACCTCGGAGGGGGGCTGTCTACCTCGGAGGGGGGCTGTCTACCTCGGAGGGGGGCTGTCTACCTTGGAGGGGGGCTGCCTACCTTGGAGGTGGGGCTGATCACGATCTCAGCAGCCACCCAGGTGCTGACATCGTCGCCGTGTCTTAGAAGCTGTACCAGGTACTTGTCTTGGACGTAGTTGGGTAGGAACAGGCTGCAGGTCTTGGTAGACAGAGACTCTGAAGAGTTGGCTCTGGGAGAGGAACAGCGCGGTCACCTGGGATGTGTGGCAGGGCCCCGCGGATGGGGGATGTGGGGTGGGGGTGGGGCGGGCAGGGGACACGAGGCCAGGCCCACGCAGGACCCCGCGAGGGGCAATGACAATAAGCCAGGCCCTCCCCAAGGACGAGACCCAGCCCAGAGCACCCACAGGGGCTTCCGCTGCCTCTCAAAGGGAGGACTCTGCCCCCTGGGGAGGAGCCACTCAGGCATGGCCGCTCGGACCCTGGGGTCACTCATCTGGGGAGGGCTGCTTGGACCCTGGGGTCACTCATCTGGGGAGGGCCGCTCGGACCCTGGGGTCACTCATCTGGGGAGGGCCGCTCAGACCCTGGGGGCTCTCATCTGGGGAGGGCCTCAATGGCCCTGGGGTCACTCATCTGGGGAGGGCCGCTCGGACTCTGGGGGCTCTCATCTGGGGAGGGCCTCAATGGCCCTGGGGGCTCTCATCTGGGGAGGGCTGCTTGGACCCTGGGGTCACTCATCTGGGGAGGGCCGCTCGGACCCTGGGGTCACTCATCTGGGGAGGGCCGCTCGGACCCTGGGGGCTCTCATCTGGGGAGGGCCTCAATGGCCCTGGGGTCACTCATCTGGGGAGGGCCGCTCGGACCCTGGGGTCACTCATCTGGGGAGGGCCGCTCGGACCCTGGGGGCTCTCATCTGGGGAGGGCCGCTCGGACCCTGGGGGCTCTCATCTGGGGAGGGCCACTCGGGCCCTGGGGTCACTCATCTGGGGAGGGCCGCTCGGACCCTGGGGGCTCTCATCTGGGGAGGGCCTCAATGGCCCTGGGGTCACTCATCTGGGGAGGGCCGCTCGGACCCTGGGGGCTCTCATCTGGGGAGGGCCGCTCGGACACTGGGGGCTCTCATCTGGGGAGGGCTGCTCGGACCCTGGGGGCTCTCATCTGGGGAGGGCCGCTCGGACACTGGGGGCTCTCAGCTGGGCAGGGCCTCACGGGCCCTGGGGTCACTCATCTGAGGAGGGCCTTATGGACCCTGGGGGGGGGGCAGGGCACTCACCTGGGGAGGGCCGCACTTTTATCCGTGACACCCAGGGCCCGTGAATTGAGGAAGTGGACAGGGTGGCACTTCTGAAACAATTCCTGCCAGAGACATGGCAGCAGACCGTAAGCATGTTGTCCGGCCGTCCCCGAGCGTCAGATGTCTGGGCCCTGCCTGCAGTCACAAGCCAGCTGCCTGGCAGGCAGGCCGGACGCCTGTGCTCTGGTTCAGCTGACGAGGGCTGGGTCTGGGCAGGGCCAGAGGAGCTGCGGTTGGCCCAGCCCTAGCCTGTGTAGCCTGTGTGTCCCACACACCTGGAGTGCAGGCCTTACCTCCCCCCCCCCCCCCCCGGCTCGTCCTGCTTCAGGTGGCAGCACTCCCAGACCTGGGCAGCTGGCCAGTGCATCCTGCTGCTGACCTGTGTCCCAGGTGCCCCTGAGCACTCATGTCCCGGGGCTCATGACACGGCGCCCACGGCCGGCCCGGTGCAGAGTTCTGGGCCCCTTCCAGCCCCAGTGGCCCCACAGACCTGCTGCAGCAGCGTGAGCTGAGTGAAGAGCTGGTGGGTGCTGTGCCCCGTCAGGAAGTAGGGCCCCTTCTCGCTGGCTTTGGCATAGGGGCCGTAGAAGTCTTCAAAGAAGCAGGGCTTGGGCAGGGCGGATGCGATGGTGTACTGGCGCTCCTTGTGGGGCAGGGCCAGCCCGTTGCCCCGGGGAAGCTTCCAGGAGAAGCTCTGTGGGCAGGCCGGTGCCCCTCCAGGTCAGGCAGGCGGGGGGAAGGGTGGCAGGGCAAAGACCCGCCAGTCCAGCCCTGCTCTGGTGAGACTGGCTGAGCTGGACCAGAGCAGATCCCTCCCTCCATGCTGTGGCTTGGGGATCTCTGTCCCAGTCACTTGGGCGGACCCCAGGGGTGCACGGTTGCCCCCCCCCCACCGGTGGACAGACCACTGGATTCCCCAGCAGATTCTCCCACCAGCTCTGTGCCCTGAGGCCCAGGATCACAACAGGACCCTGCCTCTTCGGAGTCCCGCTGCCCCTCACCTCCTTCCCCAGGGCGGGTAGTACCCACCCAGCAGGGTAGTGAGGGACATGTACAAGGCACACGTGATGCACACCGGTGCGTGCCTGTGGCCTATGTCTGTGCTTGTGTATAAGTGTGCAGGCGTGTGTGCGCGGGCCACACCTCTGTCTGGGGAAGCCCTCTCCCAGCGAAGGCCCACCTTCCAGGAGGCGCCATCCTCGGAGAGCCTCTTACAGAGGCTGTTGAAGGGTCTGGGGTCCTCAGCCTGCTTGGGGTCCTCTAGGTCTGTGTCAGGAGAGGCACAGGCAGCCCGCTGGTCAGTGCCCACCTCCAGGAGGTCCAGCAGATGCTCAGCAGAGCCATCCAGGGGCAGGATCTAGGCAGAAACATGGGTGAGGGGGTCGTGGTCACCTCTGGGGCAGGGCGGTGCTCCCCTCTGGGAGCCTAGCCTGCTGGCCAGGCTGCCGGGGCAGTGGTCACCTTGGAAGAGATAAAGTCCTCCAGCCGCCCCAGCAGCCCCGCGTTCCTTGTGAAGTCCACAGTGTAGCAGTCTTCTACCCAGGCCTGCAGGACGCAGAGGCTCCGTCGGTAGATCTTGGCGAAGGTGGAGGTGGGGTCCTGGTGGGCCCTAGAGGCAGAGGGGATCCATGGACAGGGCCTTCAGCTGGACGCAAGTGGGTGTACCGGACACGGGTGGTGACTGGCCCGGATGAGAGACCAGAGCCCTCCCTCCTCGTGCCCTCCTCCTCCTCCTCCTCCTCCTCCTCAGTGGTCCTGAGCAGAGCCCCTCATACCCTCCTCCTCCTCCTCCTCAGTGGTCCTGAGCAGAACCCTCCCCTCACACCCTTCTCCCCCTCCTCCTCTTCCTCCTCAGTGGTCCTGAGCAGAACCCTCCCCTCATGCCCTCCTCCTCCTCTTCCTCAGTGGTCCTGAGCAGAGCCCTCCCTCGCGCCCTCCCCTCAGCCCTCCATCACTCCTCACAACACATGGCTCCCACCCATCTCTTCCTCCCCCTCCGGCTTTCCCAGGGGGTCACATGCACCTGATCTCTGTCAGGGTCATGTGGGCCGCCTTGTCCCTCCTGGGTGGGCAAGATGCCATGGAGCCCTTCTGGCTTGCCCCATGGCCTGAGGGCAGTACCTGGACAGGGTGCTGCTGATGCGGTCCAGGAGGAAGTGCAGGAAGTCGTGTGGTGTGCAGAAGTACCGGAAGGTGTAGAGGAACTGCTGCACATAGCCCTCGAGGAAAGCACCGCTGTGGGGAGAGCTGCACTTGGACCTGGGCCGCCCGTGGACCCGACCCCTCCCGGAGCTCCACGTGCAGCACACAGAGCGCGGGGAAGCGTGTTCTGTGTGTGAACATGTGTGAGATTTCTGAGTGGGTATGACTAAGCCGCTTCATGAGTGTGAACAGGTAGTGTGAGATGTCTGTAGGTATAGTTGTATAGGAGCTGTGTAACCCAACATGTGAGATCTGTGGGTGAGAGTTGTGTACATGTGAGGATGTAAGAGCTCTGACAGTTCTGTGTGAGTACACGTGTTCTGTGTGAGTACACCGTGTTCTGTGTGAGTACACTATGTTCTGTGTGAGTACACCGGGTTCTGTGTGAGTACAGTGTTCTGTGTGAGTATACCATGTTCTGTGTGAGTATACTGTTCTGTGTGAGTATACCGTGTTCTGTGTGAGTATACCGTGTTCTGTGTGAGTACACAGTGTTCTGTGTGAGTACACAGTGTTCTGTGTGAGTACACCGTGTTCTGTGTGAGTACACTGTGTTCTGTGTGAGTATACTGTGTTCTGTGTGAGTACACTGTTCTGTGTGAGTATACCGTGTTCTGTGTGAGTATACCGTGTTCTGTGAGTACACAGTGTTCTGTGTGAGTACACCGTGTTCTGTGTGAGTACACCGTTTTCTGTGTGAGTACACCGTTTTCTGTGTGAGTACACCATGTTCTGTGTAAGTATACCGTGTTCTGTGTGAGTACACTGTTCTGTGTGAGTATACCGTGTTCTGTGTGAGTATACCGTGTTCTGTGTGAGTATACCGTGTTCTGTGTGAGTACACAGTGTTCTGTGTGAGTACACTGTGTTCTGTGTGAGTACACAGTGTTCTGTGTGAGTACACCGTGTTGTGTGTGAGTACAGTGTTCTGTGTGAGTATCCTGAGTTCTAAGTACACCAAGTTCTGTGTGAGTATCCGAGTTCTAAGTACACCAAGTTCTGTGTGAGTAAACCGAGTTCTGTGTGAGTACAGAGTTCTGTGTGAGTAGACCATGTTCTGTGTGAGTATACCGTGTTCTGTGTGAGTACACAGTGTTCTGTGTGAGTATACCGTGTTCTGTGTGAGTATACCGTGTTCTGTGTGAGTACACAGTGTTCTGTGTGAGTACACCGTGTTCTGTGTGAGTACACCGTGTTCTGTGTGAGTACACCGTGTTCTGTGTGAGTATACCGTGTTCTGTGTGAGTACACCGTGTTCTGTGTGAGTACACCGTGTTCTGTGTGAGTACACCGTGTTCTGTGTGAGTATACCGTGTTCTGTGTGAGTACACTGTTCTGTGTGAGTATACCGTGTTCTGTGTGAGTATACCGTGTTCTGTGTGAGTACACAGTGTTCTGTGTGAGTACACAGTGTTCTGTGTGAGTACACGGTGTTCTGTGTGAGTACACTGTGTTCTGTGTGAGTACACCGTGTTGTGTGTGAGTACAATGTTCTGTGTGAGTATCCTGAGTTCTAAGTACACCAAGTTCTGTGTGAGTATCCGAGTTCTAAGTACACCAAGTTCTGTGTGAGTAAACCGAGTTCTGTGTGAGTACAGAGTTCTGTGTGAGTAGACCATGTTCTGTGTGAGTAGACCATGTTCTGTGTGAGTACACAGTGTTCTGTGTGAGTACACAGTGTTCTGTGTGAGTACACCATGTTCTGTGTGAGTACAGTGTTCTGTGTGAGTATCCTGAGTTCTAAGTACACCAAGTTCTGTGTGAGTACACAATGTTCTGTGTGAGTAAACCAAGTTCTGTGTGAGTACACAGAGTTCTGTGTGAGTACAGTGTTCTGTGTGAGTACACCGAGTTTTGTGTGGGTACACAGTGTTCTGTGTGAGTATCCTGAGTTCTAAGTACACCGAGTTCTGTGTGAGTATACCATGTTCTGTGTGAGTACACCGAGTTCTGTGTGAGTACACAATTCTGTGTGAGTACGTGTTCTGTGTGAGTACACCGTGTTCTGTGTGAGTACACTGTGTTCTGTGTGAGTACACTGTGTTCTGTATGAGTATTCTGAGTTCTGAGTACACCGAGTTCTGTGTGAGTACACTGAGCTCTATGTGAGTACACCATGATTGGTATGAGTACACAGTTTGGTGTGAGTACACTGAGCTCTGTGAATACACGGAGTTCTGTGTGAGCACACTGACTCAATTCTACATGAGTAGAATGGATTCTAGGTGTGTATGCCGACCAAGTGTGTTCTATGTGCATACGCTGAGTTCTACATGGAGTACCCCGAGTAAGTTCTACGTGGCTGCTCTGTGTGAGTTCTATGAGAGCTCACTGAGTGGAGTTTTATGTTGAGTACGTGGGGGCTATTGGTTGGGGGCTCTTCCACCCAAGTGGTCACATTTGAGATCCTAGCCTTTCCTGCGGCGTGTCCCGTCACTGGCATGGTCCCTGGGCACCTGCCACTGTGCATCCTGGGAGAGGGCAGCCAGTGCACACAAGCAGTAAGTGCACTGGTGGACATGTGGAGCACCCAGGGTGCCCACAGGGGCTCAGCCCTGCTGGAGCCAGGGCAGGAGGGAGTCCCCAGAGAGCTCCCAAGGACCCCCATGCCTGTGGGCACCTCAGAGAGTCACACAGCTCCATGGCCCCCGCACCTATCAGTGTGCTGGGGCACTGCCAGCCCCGTCACACAGGGGGTTACAGTCTGGGGGACAGAGGTCCAGGAGCCTCCCACAGGGGCTTACAATCTGGGGATGGAGGACCAGGAGCCTCCCACAGGGGCTGACAGTGTGGGGATGGAGGATCAGGAATGTCACATAGGGGCTGACAGTGTGGGGATGGAGGATCAGGAATGTCACATAGGGGCTGACAGTGTGGGGATGGAGGATCAGGACTGTCACACTGGGGCTGACAGTGTGGGGATGGAGGATCAGGACTGTCACACTGGGGCTGACAGTCTGGGGATGGAGGATCAGGACTGTCACACTGGGGCTGACAGTGTGGGGATGGAGGATCAGGACTGTCACACTGGGGCTGACAGTGTGGGGATGGAGGATCAGGCTGTCACACTGGGGCTGACAGTGTGGGGATGGAGGATCAGGACTGTCACATAGGGGCTGACAGTGTGGGGATGGAGGATCAGGAATGTCACATAGGGGCTGACAGTGTGGGGATGGAGGATCAGGAATGTCACATAGGGGCTGACAGTGTGGGGATGGAGGATCAGGAATGTCACATAGGGGTTGACAGTGTAGGGATGGAGGATCAGGACTGTCACACTGGGGCTGACAGTGTGGGGATGGAGGATCAGGACTGTCACACTGGGGCTGACAGTCTGGGGATGGAGGATCAGGACTGTCACACTGGGGCTGACAGTGTGGGGATGGAGGATCAGGACTGTCACACTGGGGCTGACAGTGTGGGGATGGAGGATCAGGAATGTCACACTGGGGCTGACAGTCTGGGGATGGAGGATCAGGACTGTCACACTGGGGCTGACAGTGTGGGGATGGAGGATCAGGACTGTCACACTGGGGCTGACAGTCTGGGGATGGAGGATCAGGACTGTCACACTGGGGCTGACAGTGTGGGGATGGAGGATCAGGCTGTCACACTGGGGCTGACAGTGTGGGGATGGAGGATCAGGACTGTCACACTGGGGCTGACAGTGTGGGGATGGAGGATCAGGCTGTCACACTGGGGCTGACAGTGTGGGGATGGAGGATCAGGACTGTCACACTGGGGCTGACAGTGTGGGGATGGTTTATGAATGTCACACTGGGGCTGACAGTCTGGGGATGGAGGATCAGGACTGTCACACTGGGGCTGACAGTGTGGGGATGGAGGATCAGGAATGTCACACTGGGGCTGACAGTCTGGGGATGGAGGATCAGGACTGTCACACTGGGGCTGACAGTGTGGGGATGGAGGATCAGGAATGTCACACTGGGGCTGACAGTCTGGGGATGGAGGATCAGGACTGTCACACTGGGGCTGTCAATCTGGGGATGGAGGAAAGAAGGGCATTGAGGACAGGGGTCTTGGCTAGCTACATTCTGACTTCCTGGGTGGTGGACACCATGTCCATGAACAAGCCTGGCCACTGGTCTAGCTCTTGGGAGCCTCTGGAGGTGAAGGCAGTGGTGGCCAGGTTGGGTGGGAGTCCGGGAGCCCACAGCTGGTTAATGGGGTGTTTTGACGCTGGCAATTTGGATGGCATCCAGGGTGTACCTCAGTGTGTTTGTTCAAAGCCAAGTGTGTGTCCAGTCCTGTGGCCCATCTCTGGTCCCTAGCTTTCCAGCAGGGCTGTGGCGATACACCACAGGGGGCCTGTGCGGCCTGTGCGGGGCCTGCTCTGGCCAGCAGCTGGCCCACATAGCAGGTGGACGCTAACACAGCTCCATTCAAACTGTCCTACAAGCCCTGTCTGGCCCACTCCAGAGGGGATTTCCTGCCTCCTTTCACCACTGGGAGGCCTCTTTTTTCCTCCTTTTCTCCCTTTGCTCTCAGAATCTTAGGGCTTAGGGTCAGCAGGCCCCCCGGGCACCTGGGCGCACCTGGAGTAGAGGTAGGCCATGAGCCCCAGAGGTGTGCCAGCCTGCAGGACGCGGGCCTTCTGCCCACCCCCGCACGGGGGCCTGTTGACGTTGTAGAAGATGAGGGAGGAGGACTCGTCCAGGGGGCTGAAGTCTAGCGTGTCACAGGGGGCGGCTGCAATGTTCACAATCACTGGCAGGGCACAGGGCTCCACACCCCAGCGCTCCGCATAGGTGACCTGGGAGGCAGGGGGAGGTCCGCGGTCAGTGCTGGGCCTGTGGGCGCACCCTGCTGCCGACCGAGGGACGTTGGCGTTTCGAGGCCCTGCTGCCCCCTCCCTTGGCCCGTTTGTGACCCGACACGGCCTGGTATGCCACACAAGGGCAGGAAGGATCCTGTCCTGAGCTGCGCTCAGTTGCTCTAGGCTGAGGATGGGCCACTTGCCTGTAAGTACTTCTTGACCAGGCCGAGGAACTGCACCTTGGACTTCATCTCCTCCAGCTGCCCTCGGAGCTTACACAGCATGGTCCTCACCTCGGAGCCTGTGGGCACAGCGGCGCTGGCTCGTGGCCGGCTCGCGGCACGGTCGCTTGCCCGTGGCACAGACCATGCTCAGCCTTCCCTTACCTTTGCCCCGCTTTTCCTTCTGTAAGAGCTTCTGGTAGAACTTCAGGGTCTTCCTGTAGTTTCTTTTCTCTATCATGAGCTGCTGCTCCAGTTCCTAAGAGGGCAGGGGGTGTCAGGCCAGCCGGGCTTGCCCCCATGCAGGGGGCAGGGGGTGTCAGGCCAGCCCAGCTCGCCCCCACGCAGGGGGAAGGGGGTGTCAGGCCAGCCCGGCTCGCCCTCATGCAGGGGGCAGGGGGTGTCAGGCCAGCCCGGCTCGCCCCCACGCAGGGGGCAGGCGGTGTCAGGCAAGCCTGGCTCGCCCCCATGCAGGGGGCAGGTGGTGTCAGGCAAGCCCGGCTCGCCCCCATGCAGGGGGTAGGGGGTGTCAGGCCAGCCCGGCTCGCCCTCATGCAGGGGGCAGGCGGTGTCAGGCCAGCCCGGCTCGCCCCCATGCAGGGGGCAGGGGGTGTCAGGCCAGCCCGGCTCACTCCCATGCAGGGGGCAGGCGGTGTCAGGCCAGCCCGGCTCGCCCCCATGCAGGGGGCAGGGGGTGTCAGGCCAGAACGGCTCGCCCCCATGCAGGGGGCAGACATGGGCACGGTGGCTCGAGGGGTCGTGTGGCTGGTGCGGCCGCCCTGCGGTGCGGGGCACCAGGGCCAGGGCTGTTTGGTCCAAGGAGGAGAAGAGGAGCCAGGGATGAAGACAAGCTGTGAGCACCCCCACGGGGAGCTGCCACACTGGCCCACGCCGAGGCTGTGGCCTGACCCCCAAGGATGCCAGCACCTGGGTGCAGGCCGGAGGGTAGCGAAGGTCCCACACCTCCGAACCCAACCCGCCCTGAGACCCGGGCCTCCCCGAGACTCGCCCAAGTCTGCTGAGATGTGTTCCCTCCCTCGGCTGGCCCCAGGGCCCCTCGGAGTCCTCAGACTTCTGCTCAGGAGGACAGGGGCCTTGTGAAGGCCCCCTGCTCCTGGGGACCAGCTCAGGGCAGGGTCCGCAGGGGCAGATGTGGCTGGCTCCCCCCCCTCAACGTGTGGCCTTGGGGGCCTCCATCATCATCAGCCACAGCAGCCTTGACCAGAGTGCAGTCTGCCTGCCCACAGCCACAGAACCCAGCTGGGACCCTCGTGTCAAGGGCAGCTCCCAGCATGGGGTTGGTGTGTGATGGCCGTTTTAGCACCTTGTGGGAACAAGCCACAGCCCGTCTGCTCCCTGTCTGAGCCTCCAAGACTCACAGCCATGTGCACTGAGGGGCCCGCCGAGGCTGAGGGCCTGCCCACATGCCTGCCGCAGGTCTTAAAGTTATCTTAAAGAAGCCCAGCCATGTGGATTCTAGCTAAGTCCTGTACTCTGGAGCCCACGGCTGAACTGCTGTGGGGGCTGGGCACTGAGGAGCAACAGGTGTCTGCCCAGTCATTTCTAGTTTCTCTATATGCCTGCGAGTGGGCACACACCACCTACCTAGAATCTGGGTTCTCATGTGAGTGGGGAGCTTCAGCTGGGACTGGTGGGAGGGAAGAGGTGGGTGCTGGCCCGTATGGATCCTGACAGCTTCCTCAGGGAGGTGGGTCGGGGCTAGGTCCATGGGATCCTGCATCCCGGGAAGGAGGGCCAGAGCCTCCACGCTTCTGCAGGTGTCCAGCACCCGCTGGGTTTGAACTGATCTGCAGAGGGGTGCTGGCGGTGCTGGCTTAGGATCTGCCTTCCTGTCCTCCAGGGAGCCTCCTGTGCCTGGTAGGATGGCCCTCTGGGCACAATGTCCTCTCTGGGGGGGCTGTGGGCCTGTGTGAGCTGGACTCCTGGGACTGGGAGGATGGCGTGGGGAGCTGGGCTGGGGCAGAGGGTGAGGAGCGGCAAGCCTGAAAAGTCACCAGTACCTCGGGGCCCTGCCGCAGACCAGCTGCGACCCATGGGTCTGCATCCACTCAGTGGGAGTCACTGGATCTGAATCCACTACTCAGCGGACCTCACGGGGGCTGAGTCCACTCAGCCGAGGTGTGCGGTTCCGTGGGGCTCAGGGAGCCCCATGTTGACTCAGCCCCTGGGAAGACCCAGCCTCGGCCCCACCGCGCCTCCAGCAGCATGCTCACGGAGGCGGGGCACTGCCCCACCTGCCCAGGGGCCATGAGCCTCCATTGTCCTGGTCCAGTTCTGACCTCAGACAGCCGGTGGATGTCAGGGTCCCATGCCAGGGCTGGCTGAGCCAGCCCCTCTCTTGGGCAGGGGCAGAGCCGTTCCTAGGCTGCACCGTGCCGCGAGCTGCCAGTGACGTGTCTGTCTATACAGAGGCAGTCTAGACGATTAACGTGAATTCAAACGAAGATGCTGGCTCCTTAACTCACACAGGCCAGCATTCCACTGGCGCGCTCAGCAGTAACTCCCCCCCCCCTTCGTGGACAGTGCCTATCTAGAACATTCTGCCAGTGAGGATCCCCACCGACCCTGCAGGAGATGGTGCAGGCATTCCCTACCCTGGAGCTGGGCTCTGCCATGTGCTGGGCAGAGCCAGCCCTGAAGGTGTCCACCCATGATCTCCTGTGACCCTGGCTCTCTGGGACAGAGGCGGAAGCTATGTTCCCCGGGGTGCACAGGGCTCTTCTGTCCCTGGGGGAGGTCAGCCTACACCAGGCCCCATTCACCTCATCACCTGTCTGTGGGAGACACCTGATATTTCTTGTCTTCCTGGGGGGAGTTACATGCTGCTCTCTAGAGCATGGCTCACAACCCGCGAGGTTGGAGTCAACAGTTTCAGTTATAGTTCACAGTCTTGACATTCAAAAATGTCAGCAACACTGCTCATTACTGGATAATAGGCAGGTGTAAAAAAATGGTTTTGACCCACCTTAGGAAAATTTACATAACCTAAGATTCACACATGCTGGTGCTAGCAGCTCCTACCTGAAATCTGGGCTAGTTACGAGGCTGAGATCTGAGTACTGAGATTCAAAGCCAGCCTGGCCAGACTCCGGGGCCTTCCTGATCCCTCCAACAACATAGTCCGGGCTCTGGAGCCTTCCTGATCCCTCTCTACCAGCACAGCCCAGGTTCCGGAGCCTTTCTGATCCCTCCACCAGCACAGCCTGGGCTCTGGACCCTTCCTGATCCCTCCACCAGCACAGCCTGGGCTCTGGACCCTTCCTGATCCCTCCACCAGCAAGCATGGGCTCTGGAGTTTTACTGATCCCTCCACCAGCACAGCCTGGGCTCTGGACCCTTCCTGATCCCTCCACCAGCACAGCCTGGGCTCAGGAGCCTTCCTGATCCCTCCACCAGCACAGCCTGGGCTCTGGACCCTTCCTGATCCCTCCACCAGCAAGCATGGGCTCTGGAGTTTTACTGATCCCTCCACCAGCACAGCCTGGGCTCAGGAGCCTTCCTGATCCCTCCACCAGCACAGCCTGGGCTCAGGAGCCTTCCTGATCCCTCCACCAGCACAGCCTGGGCTCTGGACCCTTCCTGATCCCTCCACCAGCACAGCCTGGGCTCAGGAGCCTTCCTGATCCCTCCACCAGCACAGCCTGGGCTCCAGAGCCTTCCTGATCCTTACACCAGCACAGCCTGGGCTCTGGAGCCTTCCCGATCCCTCCAGCAGCACAGCCTGGGCTCAGGAGCCTTCCTGATCCCTCCACCAGCACAGCCTGGGCTCCAAAGCCTTCCTGATTCCTCCACCAGCACAGCCCAGGAACCAGGACCAGTCAGTGCTCAGCTGTGGGCCAGCCCTTCTCCAAGGCACATGGAGGCCCCTGGTCTGAGGCTATGTTGTCCTGAGGGTGTGGAACCTGTCTGTTTTCTCCCCCCAGACCCGTTTCCTTGCTTGGAGAAATGAGGGCAGGTGTCCTGCCAACCTGCTGTGGCAGTGGTTTGTTCTCCGCAGTCTGGTGGCAGGGATGGTGGAGACCTGGGGTCCTGAGGCCATTTTCCTCCTGCATGAAGGATGGGGACGGTGGGGAGGCAGAGAGCAGCAGGAACGCTGAGGACCAGGTGGCCTCTGAGAACTGTCCTTTGGGGCCATGGGCCTAGCTCACAGGGGAAAGAAGCCACTCCACTGCCCAGCTGTGGAGACCAGTGCTGTTGGACACCTCCACTAGAGAGCGGGCCTGTGGAGATTCCCTGGGCAGGAGTTCCTGGAGCCTGCCTGCCCCCTGGGGGTCGGATAATCTGCCTGAGCAAGGGCCCAGCCCCTCAAGTGTTCCAATGTCGGGGGAGGGCCCCAGTGGGCAGAGGCCTCGCACTCATGGGGCTCTGGGCCTGGGGTCCCCCCTCCCCCCACTCACTGGGCTCTGGGCCTGGGGTCCCCCCTCCCCCCCACTCACGGGGCTCTGGGCCTGGGGCCCCCCTCCCCCCCACTCACAGGGCTCTGGGTCTGGGGTCCCCCTTCCCCCCCACTCACAGGGCTCTGGGTCTGGGGTCCCCCTTCCTGTCCCCCCCACTCACGGGCTCTGGGCCTCAGGTCCCCCCTCCCTGTTCCCCCCCACTCATGGGGCTCTGGGCCTTGGGTCCCCCCCTTCCCCCCACTCACTGGGCGCTGGGCCTCAGGTCCCCCCTCCCTGTCCCCTCCCCCCCACTCACGGGGCTCTGGGCCTCGGGTCCCAGATGCCCATTGGTCTTCTGCCGCCCCAGATCCTTCACATAGTTGTAGACATCAGCACCAAAACAGTCGGCCTCATAGAAAGCGCTGGACCAGCCGGGGCTGCAGCTCTGGAACTCTGCAGAGCCCGGTGACACGGTGCGGCCGCCCTCCTCCGGCTTGCTCAGCCGTGCCCCTGAGTCTGGCTCCGAGGCCCTGCCAGCTGGCTCGGGGCCTGGGCCTTGCTGCCTGTCTGCTTCGGCCTCAGGTTGGTGCTTTTCTGCGGCTTTAATGGACTTCTGAGGCCGAAACCCCACCTCGAAGTTTCCTTGCAGGAGCACAGCAGGGTCCCTGCTGGACAGTGCTGTGGGTGAGCAGGGGTCTCCACTGTCCCGGGCTGCAGTCGGCTTCTCATCGCCTTGAAAGAGAGAGGTGAGGATCAGGGGACAGTGTGCCCACTTCTGTCCACGGGGGGAAGGCCTGGAAACCTCCATGAAAGGTTCCTGGCCGTTGCTCTGCAGGGTGGAGCTGGGTGGAGTCTGGGCGGCTGTGCGGCTGTGAGAGGCCTCCCTTGCTAGGCCCCTCTGGGCACTGCACTGTGTAGGCCCTGGACTCAGTCCACAATCAAGCCCAACTCCACCCTTCCATGCATGAATCCTTCAAGACATTCGAAACCCTGTCAGCTTCCATCCATGCTGGTGGCCTCCTGGCCGTCCCCGAGCAGCCAGACCTCAGGCCCAGGCTGTTACCTGCTGCTTAGCAGTCTGCCTGGCCAGCCCGCCCTTATGTCCCCAGACTGGCTTGGGAAATTGGTTTTCAGTTGACCTGGGATGTCTGGCTAGTACTCTCATGGAGCACTGCACCAGCCTGCGGTGTTTCTGGGGTTCATGCTTGTGGGATGATGCCAAGCCCCCCCTTCCCCAGCATGGGACTGCTGGAAGAGGGCTTCGGCAGGGACAGACTCCAGCCCCAGGGTACCTGGGGCGTCTTCCATGCAGGGCTTTTCTACAACTGCCCAGTCACCACAGGAGGGCGCCGGAGGCCCTGTGGAGACCAGGGCTGGCACGGTGCAGCGGCCTCTCTTACCCAGTCCAGGCGGTGAGGGCCTCTTGCTGTAGATGGAGCAGCTGCGCGGTGAGTGCTGGGGGTGAGGTCTCTGCGAGTCAGGAGCGCTGCAAGGAGAGCCACTGGTCAGAGTGGCTGGCGCTCACCGGCCGGGGAGGCCCAGGACCACGCAGAGGCCCGGGTCCCAGAGCCCCAGCACACCCTGTCTCCTCCCAGAGCCCTGCTGGACAGAAGCCAGGACAGCCCCAATGTCTTGGGGCCAGGCCGAGGTGGGTGAACTTGGATTGGCGTCTTGCTACTTCTGCTCTTCCAGAGGGGCTGCCAGCAAGCTCCTCCCGCCCGCCCACAGCCTCGAGCACCAGGGAGCCGGGTCCCTGTGGAGCGGGGCTGGGGCAGCCCAGTAGGGAGGCAGGGCGAAGCACCCGTGGGACCCCACCCGCCCCGGGCCTCGGGAGGGCAGGCTGGTCGGGACACCCACCTCTCGGGGGGCGAGGCTGGCCTGTTGACCACTTTGAAGAGATTCTGCAGCAACTGCTCATTCCAGTACAGGTCGCAGAACTTCTCAGATATGGCACCACAAAATGTAGCAAAGGTGAGGTCTTTCAAGGCGTAGATATACTCCCCTGGTTTTGCAAATGATCACACAAAGATGTGTCTCTGGTCCTGCAGCTCTGGGTCACAGTGGGTGGGCCTGGGGCTCTTAGGAGCCAGCTCTGCCAGCTTCCCTGTCATCATTACCCAGGCCCTGGGGTGGAAACGGGAGTGGGTCCCCCTAGGCTACAGGTGCATCCCCCCGCCTTTCTCTGACCAGGGCCTCCCCAGGGCGGCCCCGTACCCATGATCAGGGCCTCCAGCCCGTTGTCCAGGTAGCCATCGAAGGCAAACTCCTCCTGGATGAGGCGCATGGCTTCCTGCAATGAGGGGCAGGCAGTCGCCGTCGGAGGGGACGGGGTGTCCACGCTGGATGGACAGAGCTTCCGGTCTGGTGGCCGGGGCCTGTCAGGATGGCTCTCTGGGCGCCTGGGGCTGTTTGGGCCCCCCGTGGCCAGGAAGGGGCCCTGCACACCTGGCAGGGCTGCCTCTGGCTCAGCGGCCTTGCTCCTGGGAGGCTTGCGTGTGGGATGTGGGCCGCGGCTGGCCGGGGCTCCTGCAGGCGGAGAGGTTCTGGATGGGGCCTGACCCTCTGGCTTGTGCTCGGGGGGCAAGGCTGGGGCCTGCTGGGGCAGGGCGGGGGTAGGAGAGGGGGCTGTGCCCGATGTGACCCCCTGCTGAGAGGTGAGGACGGGCCCTGGGGGGCAGGAGCACTCTGGGACCGAGCCACGGGGCACCGAGGCCCCAGCAGAGTCCACGGCTGCTCCCTCGGGCTCTGTGTCGGGCGCCGGCTGGTCAGGCCTGGTGGCCCCAGGAAGGCCCTGGGCCGCCTGCGTCCCTGTGCTCTCCCTGTCCAGCGGGCTGCTCCTCTCCTCAGGCATCTCAGCTGTCCCCATGGGTGAGGTGAGCTGGTCTCTGTGGGGGGAGAAGGGGAAAACTCAGGAGCCTGTGTGTGTGCAAACATGGCAGGCTGGGGTATAGACACTCACCTGGCCACACCTGTGTCCTGCGCAAGGACACTGGGCTTAAAGAGAGTGGGCGCACAGGTGGAGGCCACTGGACCCTCACAGGCTCCTTCACGGCAAGGGGCTGACCCCGGCCCAGCATGGCGCCTGCTGCCGCTGTCCATGGGCCGGAAGCCTGGAGGTGACAAGGAGTCGGGACACAGGAACGAGGGACAGTCAAGGCTGGTGCGAGCGCCCGCGGGAGCTCATGCTGGAGGCCTTGCCCGCGGTGAGGCCCCGGCGTGGGTGACCAGCTCCCCTTGTCCCAGGGCTCCTCCGTGCCAGGCGGGGCCAGGGCCCAGAAGGGAGGGCAGCTCCAGAAGGCCTCACTCAGGAGGACGGGTGCAGACTGGCTGCACGGGGTGGTGGGGCCTGCAGGAGACCGCTGCGTCTGGGGCTGAGGTCTGAGTGGGGGGGGGGGGGGGCCGAGGGCGGCTGCTTCCTCACTGCACCTGCTGCCCTGGATGAGGGCGGCTGCTTCCTCACTGCACCTGCTGCCCTGGGTGAGGGCGGCTGCTTCCTTACTGCGCCTGCTGCACTGGATGAGGGCGGCTGCTTCCTCACTGCGCCCGCTGCCCTGGATGGGGGCGGCTGCTTCCTCACTGCGCCTGCTGCCCTGGATGGGGGCGGCTGCTTCCTTACTGCGCCTGCTGCACTGGATGAGGGCGGCTGCTTCCTCACTGCACCTGCTGCCCTGGATGAGGGCGGCTGCTTCCTTACTGCGCCTGCTGCACTGGATGAGGGCGGCTGCTTCCTCACTGCGCCCACTGCCCTGGATGAGCGCGGCTGCTTCCTCACTGCGCCTGCTGCCCTGGATGAGGACGGCTGCTTCCTCACTGCGCCTGCTGCCCTGGATGGGGACGGCTGCTTCCTCACCGTGCCCAGCGCCTGCTGCCCTGGATGGGGCTGGCTGCTTCCTCACTGCGCCTGCTGCCCTGGATGGGGACGGCTGCTTCCTCACCGTGCCCAGCGCCTGCTGCCCTGGATGAGGACGGCTGCTTCCTCACTGCACCTGCTGCCCTGGATGGGGGGGTTGCTTCCTCACTGTGCCCACTGCCCTGGATGGGGGCCGCTGCTTCCTCACTGCCCCTGCGCCTGCTGCCCTGGATGAGGGCGGCTGCTTCCTCACTGCGCCTGCTGCCCTGGATGAGGACGGCTGCTCCTCACTGCGCCTGCTGCCCTGGATGAGGGCGGCTGCTTCCTCATGTGCCTGCTGCCCTGGATGGGGGCGGCTGCTTCCTCACTGCGCCCGCTGCCCTGGATGAGGGCGGCTGCTTCCTCACTGTACCCAGCGCCTGCTGCACTGAATGGGGTCGGCTGCTTCCTCACTGTGCCTGCTGCCCTGGATGGGGGCGGCTGCTTCCTCACTGTGCCTGCTGCCCTGGATGGGGGCGGCTGCTTCCTCACTGCGCCTGCTGCCCTGGATGAGGGCGGCTGCTTCCTCACTGTGCCCGCTGCCCTGGATGGGGGCGGCTGCTTCCTCACTGCGCCTGCTGCCCTGGATGGGGACGGCTGCTTCCTCACCGTGCCCAGCGCCTGCTGCCCTGGATGAGGACGGCTGCTTCCTCACTGCACCTGCTGCCCTGGATGGGGGGGTTGCTTCCTCACTGCACCTGCTGCCCTGGATGGGGGCGGCTGCTTCCTCACTGTGCCTGCTGCCCTGGATGGGGGCGGCTGCTTCCTCACTGCGCCTGCTGCCCTGGATGGGGGCGGCTGCTTCCTCACTGCGCCTGCTGCCCTGGATGGGGGCAGCTGCTTCCTCACTGCGCCTGCTGCCCTGGATGGGGGCAGCTGCTTCCTTACTGCGCCTGCTGCCCTGACGGGGTGGCTGCTTCCTCACTGTGCCCGCTGCCCTGGATGGGGGCGGCTGCTTCCTCACTGCGCCCGCTGCCCTGGATGGGGGCGGTTGCTTCCTCACTGTGCCTGCTGCCCTGGATGGGGGCGGTTGCTTCCTCACTGCGCCCGCTGCCCTGGATGGGGGCAGCTGCTTCCTCACTGTGCCTGCTGCCCTGGATGGGGGCAGCTGCTTCCTCACTGCGCCTGCTGCCCTGACGGGGTGGCTGCTTCCTCACTGCGCCCTGCTGCCCTGTCTGGGGGGTGGCTGCTTCCTCACTGCGTCCCGCTGCCCTGGCTGGGGGTGGTGGTGTCCACTCCGCACGGGACTCTGGCAGTGCGCTGTGGTATGGGAGCAGGGGCGGGTGGGTGGGAGGGCTGACTGCTGGGGACCTACCTGTCTCAGACTCAGGAGCTGTGCATGGCTTCAGCTCAATGACAGAGAAGGTGCTTTGGAGGGCAATGGCCTGCTCCTCTGGGTGGACCTGCAGTGGAAGGTCAGTCAGGGAGCCCGAGGCCCGGCTGGACCTCGGCCCTCTAGCCTTTGGCCTCCTGGCAGGCTGATCCCAGGGTCTTTCTGTGGAGCAGGGGGGGTGGCCCTGAGACTTGGAGCAGGGGCACACACTCCCGCTTTGCAAGGCTCTCCTAAGCTCGGAAATGGTGCACACTCCAGGGACCAAACCTGCAGGGAGGGCAGAGCTCTGGGGCGGGACTTCCCCTGCCACCTGGGGATGCGCCCAGGACACCCAGAGGACGACAGGGACCGGTAAAGACCACTGAGGGTCACTGAGGAGGCACAAGAGACGGACCGCATGCGGCCTCTGCTGTAGGCCCCTGCCCAGCATGGTCAGCAGCTGCCCTGAGCAGGGTTTCAGGAGGGTCTCAGGAGGGCGGCTGTCACCAGTTCTTCCCCAGATCCTCTACTCATCCGTGCCATGCAGGGCCAGCACTTCCTGGCAGGCACATAATGCAGGCTCCTGAGTTTCAGGGCGCAGCCTCTTACCTTGCAGGTGGAAGCCCGCAGGTGTGCCAGAATCTTCTTGCTGTCCATGCCCCGCTGGAGGAGGTAGTTCCCGCAGACCTGAAGGCAGGAGACGTCTGGGCAGGAGGACTCAAGCTTCTTCTTGTCCACTCCGTAACACCAGCCCCTTCTCCCCAGGTGCTCCCTGTAGCACTGGTGACAGTCCTTCCTCCCACAGTGCTCCAGGGGGCACTGGTGACGGCCCTTCCTCCCACAGACCAATCCTCCTCCAACAGTGCTCCAGAGGGCACTGGTGACAGCCCCTCCTCCCACAGTGCTCCACGGGGCACTGGTGACAGCCCCTCCTCTGACAGTGCTCCAGGGGGCACTGGTGATGGTTCCTCCTCCCACAGTGCTCCAGAGGGCACTGGTGATGGTTCCTCCTCCGACAGTGCTCCAGAGGGCACTGGTGACGGTTCCTCCTCTGACAGTGCTCCAGGGGGCACTGGTGACAGCCCCTCCTCCCACAGTGCTCCAGGGGGCACTGGTGACGGTTCCTCCTCTGACAGTGCTCCAGGGGGCACTGGTGACTATTCCTCCTTTGACAGTGCTCCAGGGGGCACTAGTGACGGTTCCTCCTCTGACAGTGCTCCAGGAGGCACTGGTGACAGTTCCTCCTCTGACAGTGCTCCAGGGGGCACTGGTGACTATTCCTCCTCTGACAGTGCTCGAGGGGGCACTGGTGACGGTTCCTCCTCCCACAGTGCTCCAGAGGGCACTGGTGACCATTCCTCCTCTGACAGTGCTCCAGGGGGCATTGGTGACAGCCCCTCCTCCCACAGTGCTCCAGGGGGGCACTGGTGACTATTCCTCCTCTGACAGTGCTCCAGGGGGCACTGGTGACTATTCCTCCTCTGACAGTGCTCCAGGGGGCACTGGTGACAGCCCCTCCTCCCACAGTGCTCCAGGGGGCACTGGTGACTATTCCTCCTCTGACAGTGCTCCAGGGGGCACTGGTGACCATTCCTCCTCTGACAGTGCTCCAGGGGGCACTGGTGACGGTTCCTCCTCTGACAGTGCTCCAGGGGGCACTGGTGACTATTCCTCCTCTGACAGTGCTCCAGGGGGCACTGGTGACCATTCCTCCTCTGACAGTGCTCCAGGGGGCACTGGTGACCATTCCTCCTCTGACAGTGCTCCAGGGGGCACTGGTGACGGTTCCTCCTCTGACAGTGCTCCAGGGGGCACTGGTGACTATTCCTCCTCTGACAGTGCTCCAGGGGGCACTGGTGACAGCCCCTCCTCCCACAGTGCTCCAGGGGGCATTGGTGATGGGGGGGGTGGGGCTCAGCCCTCAGCAGCTCTATCAGACTCCTCTCTAGGGCTCTGAACTTCCTGTCCATCCCAACTGTGAACAGGACCCTAAGAGAAGGGTGGCAGCTGCCTCCCTGTCCCAGGCCTGCTTCTGGGCAGTGTGGCTGCCGGGTGCGGGGCTAGGAGGAGAGCCGCTGCAGAAACACGTGGGCCAGCTCCAGCCCCCAAGCTGCGGCCTGTGTAGGCTCCCACCCTGCCGGCCGAGATGGTGACCCCAGGCTACCCACCACACCCCCAAGGCCATCTGACTCTGTTACCTCGATGGCTTCGGCTGCAGACGGCCGCTCTTGGGCACAGCGCCTGGCCATGTCCAGCAGGAGGCTCTTGAGTCTGCGTGTCAGGGCCAGTTTGTGGTTGTGGGGGACGCTGAACTTGGCTGCTGTCCATAGGACAGCAGCCACGCAGTACACGGAGGCCTGGGTAGCACAGGAGAGGAGGAGGGAGCCACTGAGGGACTGGTGGAGCCAGGCTGACCCAGCAGACCTGCTCCCACCTGTGCCTCCTGCCCGGACACCACCCCAGCTAGCAACTCACGCGGTCCTTGGGATTTGCATACTTAACAAGAGCCCTCACTCGGTTCAGTTCAGGGACTGGACACTCCAAAGCCCACCTGGAAGTCCCATCTCTTTTCTCACAGGCAGAGGTGGCTCACACACCGCCCAACCCAGCACTGCTCGGCTGGACCTCCTCCCAAGCAGTGGTTTGCTGCCCTGCAGCTAGCCACAGGCTCTCAGGACAGGTGCAGTGTGTGCACAGAGCAGGGCCCAGTGTCCGCTGGAGGTGGGCCTGCAGCCAGCCCATGGTTAAGGTGCTCTTTTCTGAGTACCACAGGCCGAGATTTGCTCCAGAGGCTCTGCTAGGTTCTGAACAGCTGTGTTCCACCTGCAGCAATCTGCAGGATGACGTGGATGCGGGTGACATTTTGTTTACTCAGTAAGATCGAGATGCAGTGGAGTGTCATCTCGAGTGACATCATTGCTGAACAGGTGAATGCTGGCTCCTGGGCTGTTCACAATGCAGCAGCTACAGTCAACATGCTTAAGTTGTCTTCCTCAATTTTTCTTCCTCACTTTGTTAAGCTTGGATGATCAACAAAATAGTAATTTGCTGATTTCTACTGCACAAATGCCCCACACATGCTGATTTCCATTCTCTTTTTGTTTTTGTTTTGTTTGAAGGATCTTAATTTTTTTTCCAATTCTCTCCTGCCCCCTAATTTACTTTATTATTATTTTAGAGGTGATATACAGCAGCCTGACTTCCATTCTTGAGGATGCAGAGAATGAGCCGTTGGGAAAAAGCATCCATGGGTGGCCCAAGCCGATCAGAACACGGTCCCTTCTGAGTACTCACTTAGCTTTTCGTTTCTCGGATGCTCAAGGCTGCCACATAATTGAAATAGACCTGTTCCCCTTTTCCCAGCACCACACAGATGACATCTTGCAATAAACCACATGTGGTCAGTTTTAAAGTTTGATCAGCTCCAGTCTCCCAGCTTTTCCTCTGTGGAAAGTTATTGAGCTTCTGAGGTCCAGGAAACGTTTCTCTCACCCTTTGCCTGAAGAACTTCGCTCATCAGCATTGTCCCATAATGCTGCTCTAGCAATATATCTAAGGATTTTTGTGTGCTGGAGATGGAGTCCAGGGCCTCGCACATGCTAGGCAGATGCTCTACCACTGGGCTATAGCCCATATGTATATGGGCTATATGTATATATGCGTATATATGTATATATATATATATTCATTCTTTGGCTATAAATGTCTCAACATTTTAAGTTGTGCCCACATGCTTTTTATTAGCATATGGAATGTTTCTCTGGCATCCTGTGGCCTTGTGAAAGTCTGTTGTAACTTCTGGGAGCTTCCTTGGGTTTTCTTCAGAGACAGCAGGCCATCGATGTGACCTACAGCCGTGTCTTCTGTCCCCATCTTTACGCTGTGCCGTGGCTAGACCCCCAGGAGTTCTGAGTGAGGGTGGGGATGGGAGGGGCCTGGGCCTTGATGGGTCTGGGGGGAAGCATTTCTACATGAGTTGTAGGCTTCTTACTGTGTGCTTTTTATCAAGTTGAGAAAAGTTCTTCTATTGTTTTTTAAAAACATGAATAGGTGTCAATTTTTTTGTCAGTCCTGGGGCTTGAACTCAGGGCCTGGGCACTGTCCCTGAGCTTCTTTTGCTTAAGGCTAGCACTCTACCACTAAGCCACATTCCCAGCCCAGATGTCAAATTTTTTCAATGCCTTTTCTGCATTAAGAAAATGGTTGGATTTTTCTTCTTTCAACCAGTTTATGTGTTAGACTATAATGGTTTTCAAATGTTGAATCAGATTCACACCCTTGGAGTAAATCATGCACTGTTATGGCGTGTGTACACACACACACACACACACACACTATATATATATATATATATATATTATATATGTTATATATATATATATGTTATATATATATATACTGCAGAATTCCATCTGCATGTATTTAAGGCCTCTGTCTTCTCATTCGTGAGACTTTTTTGGTATCCTCTGTCTAATTTGGGATCAGGGTAGTACTAGCTTCATAAAACATACTGGGAAGTGTTTTTCATTTTTGGTTTCCTGGAAAAGACAGTGTAGAATTGGCATTAACTGTTCTTTAAACATGTGGTATAGTTTTCTAGTGAAACCATCTGGCCCCACAGAGATAGTCTAGAAAAATCTTAACTGACAAGTGCATTTTCCTCAGGAGCTGATGGGTTATGCGGTGTGCTTTCTGAAGAGCTGTCCGGGGAACTGGGGCTGCTGGTGGTGTCACCTTGCCAACCAGGCCTGTGAGATCTGCTCGCCCAGCCCCTGCCATTCCAGGTGCTGATGCTGTGTCTTCTGAACCCTTCCATCAAAGTCCGCTTGGGTTTCTCTGTAGTCCTCCGTGTTCGCCTGTCGCAGGCTGTGCAGTGGGTGGAGCGGCAGTCCTGACTCTCCAACCTGTCAGTTTCCCCAGTTTTCCTAGGACCCATGTCCTGTGACTGTCTTCCCCTTACTACACTGCATGATTGTTTTACACAACCCCTCTGTGTGTTTGTAACAAAACCAACCTGTTATGCCCCTAAGACATAATCCGAGCATTCAAGAGAAGGAAGGTCACAGATTTTTGCTTAGCTTGTCTTTCCTTTCTGATAGAGACTCCTTTTATTATTTCCTCCCTGCTTTTGCATGTGTATGTGTGTGCGCACACACACGGGTGTGCATGCACTAGTACTGGGGTTTGAACTCAGGGCCTTGGTGATGTCTTTAGCTTTTTCACTTAAGGCTGTCACTCTACCATTTGAGCCACAGCTTCACTTGTGGCTTTTTGGCGGTTGATTGGATGTAAGAGTCTCACAATCTTTCTTGCTTCGGCTGGCTTCAAACCCTGATTCTCAGATCTCAGCCTTCTGAATAGCTAGGATGACAGTCTTGGCAATTTCTTTGTGTGGGATGCAGTGTTCAGCTACTGCCTTCTCTAGCATAGATCCCCTGCCCTGCCCTCCCCTGTCCACCTTCCCCTGCCCTGCCCTGCCCTCCTTCCCCTGCCCTGCCCTCCCCTCCCCTGCCCACCTTCCCCTGCCCTGCCCTCCCCTGCCCTCCCTTCCCCTCTGATCCTGCCTCCCGAGGGCTCCCCCTCCCCTCCCCACTCCCCTTCCTCTGGCGGTCAGGCCTCAGCAAGGGTGCATCCAGGGGCCGGAGGAGGCGGGGCTGAGCCTGCCCAGTCCTGGAGGGGGGGACGAGGGCACGAGGGGGGACGGGAGTGGGAGTGGGGCTGAAGGGGGGACAGGAGAGGGCAGAGGGAGAGGGGAGGGGGGACGGGAGGAGTGGCGAGGTTACCTTCTCTGTCACTGGGTTTCCCTCAGCCACCTCCGGAGCCAGGAAGAAGGAGTCCTGGGTGCCTGGGAGGAGACGTGGCTGGGTGACCACGCTGCCTGACGGGCAGGAGGTGCCGCCCCCGCCCCTCCCCCGCCCTCCCCCCTCCCCTCCCCCCACCATGGCCACACACAGGTACTGTGGGCAGGAGGTGCTGCCCCCCCGCCCCTCCCCCGCCCCTCCCCCCGCCTGCTCCTCCCCCACCATGGCCACACGCACGTACTGTGGGCAGGTGGAGGCCCGAAGAGCACGGCCCCGTCTGCGGCCACCAGCACGTTGTCCAGGCACAGGCAGGCTGCAAGACAGGGGTCACCTGGCTTTGCCAAGCTGAGCCAGGTGCCTGGGCTGGCATCAGGGCCACTGGGAGTGGATGGGGCCAGGGTGGGGCCAGGGCCGGCCCAGGGCTGGGTTAGGAGTGGACAGGGGTGGACGGGCCGGGGTGGATGGGCCAGGGGTGGACAGGCCGGGGTGGACAGGCCAGGGGTGGACAGGCCTGGGTGGACAGGCCAGGGGTGGACAGGCTGGGGTGGACGGGTCAGGGGTGGATGGGCCAGGGGTGGACGGAGCCAGGAGTGGACAGGGCCAGGGATGGACAGGCCAGGGGTGGACGGGCCTGGGTGGACAGGCCAGGGGTGGACAGGCCGGGGTGGATGGGCCGGGGGTAGATGGGCCAGGGGTGGAAAGGCCTGGGTGGACAGGCCTGGGTGGACAGGCCTTGGGTGGACAGGCCGGGGTGGATGGGCCTGGGTGGACGGGCCAGGGGTGGATGGGCCAGGGGTGGACAGGCTGGAGTCGACGGGCCAGGGGTGGACGGGCCAGGGGTGGATGGGCCAGGGGTGGACGGGTCAGGGGTGGATGGGCCAGGGGTGGACGGGCCAGGGGTGGACAGGCCGGGGTGGACGGGTCAGGGGTGGACGGGCCAGGGGCGGACGGGCCAGGGGCGGACGGGCCAGGGGCGGACAGGCCGGGGTGGGGTGGACGGGCCAGGGGTGGATGGACCAGGGGTGGATGGGCCAGGGGTGGACGGGCCAGGGGTGGACGGGCCAGGGGTGGACGGGCCGGGGTGGACGGGCCAGGGGTGGACAGGCTGGGGTGGATGGGCCAGGGGTGGACGGGCCAGGGGTGGATGGGCCAGGGGTGGACAGGCTGGGGTGGACGGGCCAGGGGTGGATGGCCTGGAATGGGAGCCACGGGAGTGGACAGGCCAGCGTGGGGCCGGGCTGGGCAGGAATGGGGTCCCACCACCCTCAGCCCCCGGGGGGAGCTGGGATGGAATCCCAGCAAGGGGCCTGGCGCAGCCCCGTGCCCTTTGCCATGCTGCCCTGGTCTGGCTGGGTGGGCTGGGCAGGGTGAGGACCGCCCCCTCCCCACAGGTCTCCCTCCCGGCCTCGGGACTGTGGCCCTGTGTGGGGGGCCAGCATCGCTCCGATCGCCCAGCTCCCAGACACCCGCTCATGCCACACTCAGAAGACCACCACCCGGTCCTGCCGCCCACAGGTGAGCTTGTTGGGGCCACAAACCAGGCACGGTCCGAGTCTCCCCCTCCCACACCTCCCGAGCCTGGTTGCCTCCTGGGGACAGAGCAGCCCGGAGGACCCTCTTCTTCTACAGAGGTCTCTGGCGCTTGGGCAGCAGAACCTTCCTTTCCCCATCAGTGCTGAGAGCAAAGAATTACCCCAGGGTGCAGGGGCTGGGCCCTCTCTCCTCCCCAACAGTTGGAGGAGCCTTCCTCCCCTCTGCCCCGTGGCCCTGTGCTCTGAGCCGGCCCCAGCCTCCCCTCCGCCCCGTGGCCCTGTGCTCTGAGCCGGCCCCAGCCTCCCCTCCGCCCTGTGGCCCTGTGCTCTGAGCCTGCCCCAGCCTCCCCTCCGCCCCGTGGCCCTGTGCTCTGAGCCGGCCCCAGCCTCCCCTCCGCCCTGTGGCCCTGTGCTCTGAGCCTGCCCCAGCCTCCCCTCCGCCCCGTGGCCCTGTGCTCTGAGCCGGCCCCAGCCTGGTGTCACCTGGGTGTCCTCCATGTCTCTGTAGAGTGCGCAGGCAGGACAGGCACAAGGCCCACAGCTCACACTCCCGGAGGGGCCGGCCCAGCTTAGAGAGGAGGCCCTTCAGGGACAGGCTCTGTGGGAGGAAGAGAAAACTCACTGAGAACACCTCCACCTGCCAGAGGAAAGAAAGGACCCCTCCCCCAGCACTCCAGTACAACGGACCAGAAAACCCTGAAGTCAAAACAAGCAGGGATAAGGGCAGAGAGCACTGTACTGCAGGGAAAGAGAGGCAGCTGCCACGAAAACCATGGTTGTACTTGTGCCCAGAGCTGGACTCCTAGCTCCACAGAGACACACAGGGGCTGCGGCCTGGGGGCCACTCCTGTGCCTGTGTCCAGAGCTGGACTCCTAGCTCCACAGAGACACATAGGGGCTGCGGCCTGGGGTCCACTCCTGTGTCCAGAGCTGGACTCCTAGCTCCACAGAGACACACAGGGGCTGCGGCCTGGGGGCCACTCCTGTGCCTGTGTCCAGAGCTGGACTCCTAGCTCCACAGAGACACATAGGGGCTGCGGCCTGGGGTCCACTCCTGTGTCCAGAGCTGGATTCCTAGCTCCACAGAGACACACAGGGGCTGCGGCCTGGGGTCCACTCCTGTGTCCAGAGCTGGACTCCTAGCTCCACAGAGACACACAGGGACTGCGGCCTGGGTGGCAGTCAGCTCCCTCAAGCTGTATTCATAGCTTCTTTAAAAAACAGGAAACATGTTGACAAACACTAGTGAGACTGGCAGAAGAAGAGATGAGTTTCAAGTCAATAAAATCAGAGATGCCGCAGGCAACGTTCCAACAAACACCAAGAAATCTACACAGTTTTAAAAGAGTACTTTCAAAGCCTATACTCACAGAAGAAGGAAAACTTAGCAGAAACCACACAAACTGCCTAGACTGAACCAAGAAGACATAAGCCAGTAAACAAGCCAATAACAAGCAATGAGATCGAGGAGGTAATCAGAAATCTTCCAACAAGGAAAAGCCAGACGCAGATGGAGTCACTGATGAATTTTATATGACTTTTTTTTTTTTTGGCCAGACCTGGGGTTTGAACTCTGGACCTGGGTGCTGTCCCTGAGCTTCTTTTGCTCAAGGCTAGCACTCTACCACTTGAGCCACAGCACCACTTCCAGCTTTTTCTGTTTATGTGGTACCTAGGAATTAAACCTAGGGCTTCATGCATGCTAGGCAAGCACTCTACCACTGAGCCACATTCCCAGTCCCTTTATAAGACATATAAGGATGAACTAATACCAATAATCCTCAAGCTTTTCTGTGAGATAGAAGCAGAAGGTGCAATCCCAAACTCAAATCTATGAAGCCAGTACACATTCACACCCAAACCAGGTAAGGATCCAACAAATCAAGAGAAGTACAGACCAATCTGTCTGATGAATACAGATGCAAAGCTCCTCAATAAAGTAGTCAACGGAGGGGGCTGGGAAGGTGACTCAGTGGTAGAGTGCTTGCCTTGCATGCATGAGGCCCTGGGTTCGATTCCTCAGCACCACATACACAGAAAAAGCCAGAAGTGGCACTGTGGCTCAAGTTGTAGATTTCTAGCCTTGAGCTGAAGAGCTCAGGGACAGCACCCAGGCCCAGAGATCAGGCCCCACCACTGACAAAAAACAAAACAACACAAAAGAAAGGTATTAGTCAACAGAATCCAGGAACAAATAAAAAATTACACATTAGGACCAAATAGGCTTCATCCCACAGATTCAAGGCGGTTTAACATATGCAAATCAATATATGTAATTTACCAGGTCAACAAGCCAAAGACAAGAGCCACATGATCATCTCAATAGATGCAGGAAAAAAACTCCAACAAAATACAACATCTATTCATGTTAAAAGTCTTAGAGAAGCTAGGAATAGAGGAAACATTCCCTAAATCAACAAAGGCTATATTTGACAGACCAACAGCCAACATCATACTGAATGGGTTAAAAACTATTTCCCCTAAAATTAGGAACAGGAAAAGGATGTCCATTCTCTCCACTCCTCTTCAATATAGTTCTGGAATTCTTAGCCAGAGCAGTAAGGCAAGAAAAAGAAATGAAAGGGATTCACATAGGGAAAGAAGAAATCCAACTATCTCTATTTCATGACCTTATACCAAAAGGACCCTAAAAACTTCATCCCCAAGCTCCTAAAGCTGATTAGCCACTTTGGCAAAGTAGCAAGATACAAAATTAGTCCAGAAAAATCAGTAGCTTTTCTGTGTGATAACAATCTACAAGCAGAAAGGGAAATCATGGAAATAACTCCATTTGTAATAGCCTCAAAAAATACCTAGTAATTAACCTAACCAAAGACATAAAAGATCTTTATAGAAAAAACTGTAAAAATCTGAAGAAAGAAATCAAAGAGGACACCAGGAAATGAAAAGATCTTCCATGTTTATGGACAGGTAGAATCAATATTGTGAAAATGGCCATACTGCCAAAAATGACATACAAATTCAATGCATCCCCATCAAAGTCCCAATGGCATTCTTTACTGAGAGAGAAAAAAACAATACAAAAGTTCATAAGGAACAACAAAAAACTTAGAATAGTCAAATCAATTCTAGGTAAAAAAAGCAATGTGGGTGGTATCACAATGCCAGACTTCAAACTCTACTGCAGAGCCATAACAACAACAACAACAACAACAACAACAACAACAACAGACCTGAAGCTCGATGAAGAAGATGAGAAGACTCAGAAATAAAATAATACACTTACAGTTATCTGACATTTGGTAGAAGAGCCAAAGATCTACAGTGGAAAAAACAAAGCCTCTTCACAATTAGTGTTGGGAAAACTGGGCAGCCACATGCAGAAAACTCGAAGTGGATCCCTGCTTGTCACCACTCCTAACCTCAACTCAAAGTGAATCTAAGACCGCAACCTCAGATCCAAAACTTTGAAACTTCTGCATGAGAGAGTAGGAGAACATTAGGACCTAGGTGTATTGGCGGAAACTTCCTGAATAGAGTCCCAGGGGTACAACAGACAGGAGAGAGACTCGACAAGTGGGACCACATCAAAATAAAGAGTTTCTGCACAGAAAAGGATATAGTTACCAAACTAGAAAGACAGCCAGTCAAACAACTGGGAAAAAAGATCTTTACCCGCAATACACCAAAGGCCTAATATCCAAATATACAAGGAGCTCAAGAGACTAACCCCTCCAAAGCTAGTAAACCAATCACTAAATGGGCTGGGGACTAAGGAGAGACTTCCCAGAAGAGATGAGAATGGCAAAGAAAGAAGAAATGCTCATCGTCCCTGGCCATAAAGGAAATGCAATCCAAAACAACTCTGAGATTCCATCTCACCCCAGCTGGATCGGTCAGCATTGTGAATTCAAACAACAAATGCCGGTGGGGATGTGGGGGAAAAGGAACCCTACGGCGCTGCTGGTAATGTAACCTAGCACAACCACTTCGGACAAGGGGCTGGAGGCTCCTCAAAAACTAAACACAGACCTTCCCTACAACCCAGCCATAGCACTCCTGGGCATCTACCTTGACCATCAGTAGTCAGGATATAATAAGGACACCTGCACCTCCATGTTCACTGCTGCACTATTCACAGTAGCCAGGATACAGAAACACCCCAGATGCCCACAATAGATGAGTGGATCCAAAAACGTAGTGCCTATACTCAGAATTTTACACAGCCATTAGATAGGATAACATAATGCCATTTGCAGGAAAATGGATGGAACTAGAACAAATCATGTTACGTGAGGTAAGCCAAGCTCAGAGGGACACACAGCACATGTTCTCTCTGATATGCAGAAATTAGATCTAAAATGCACTGGGATATAATAAATTATACAGGATTCTAGATACTCACCCAGTGAGACCAAAAGGGGGATACTCTTAGGAGAGAAACACAAAGGCACAAAGCCTAAGTTTCTCCTCACATTTACAAAATATAATATGCATACAAACTCCAAGATATGGAAACAAGCCTTCTTGTTTTTTTCTTTTTCCCTTTCTTTTTCTTTTAGTTTTTTAGTTTCTGGTTTCTGTCTTCTTGACCGTGTGTCTGGTGCATTCAAGTGTACATCTTCAGGGGAGGGTACAGAATTCGAGGGAAAAAGGGTGAAAGCTTGCAGCAGTGGAGCTCACTGGACACTGATGAAGCTGACCGACATATACAATTGTGGGTGGAGAAGGGCGGGAGGGACGGGGGAGAGTGAGGGAAGAGAAGACAGTACGACAGGAAGAACCCGCAACCCCTCCCTGTATCACCGCTATAATGACAATAAATTACCCCCCCCGTAATTATCAAGTGAGAATCAACACTGAGCACGCGCCCCTGCACACGCTGCATGCTGAGCACGTGCCCCTGCACATGCTGCACATACTGCATGCTGAGCACGCGCCCCTGCACACGCTGCACGCTGAGCACGCGCCCCTGCACACGCTGCACGCTGAGCACGCGCCCCTGCACACGCTGCACGCTGAGCACGCGCCCCTGCACACGCTGCACGTTGAGCACGTGCCCCTGCACATGCTGCATGCTGAGCACGTGCCCCTGCACATGCTGCACATGCTGCACATGCTGCACGCTGAGCATGCGCCCCTGCACATGCTGCACATACTGCACACTGAGCACGTGCCCCTGCAATGCTGCACATGCTGCACACGCTGAGCACGCACCCCTGCACACGCTGCATGCTGAGCACACGCCTCTGCACATGCTGCACATGCTGCATGCTGAGCACGCGCCCCTGCACATGCTGCACATGCTGCACCGCTGAGCACCCACCCCTGCACATGCTGCACACTGAGTACGTGCCCTTGCACATGCTGCACACGCTGAGCATGCACCCCTGCACATGCTGCACACTGAGCACATGCCCCTGCACACGCTGCACACGTTGCACGCTCAGCACGCACCCTGCACACGCTGCATGCTGAGCACACGCCCCTGCACATGCTGCACGCTGAGCATGCGCCCCTGCACACACTGCACACTCTGCACGCGCCCCTGCACACTCTGCATGCTAAGCACGTGCCCCTGCACCTGCTGCATGCTGAGCACACGCCCCTGCACACGCTGCACACGTTGCATGCTGAGCACGTGCCTCTGCGCACGCTGCACACTGAGCACGCGCCCCTGCTCACGCTGCACACTGAGCACATGCCCCTGTGCATGCTGCAAGCTGAGCACGCGCCCCTGCACACGCTGCATGCTGCACATGCTGCAAGCTGAGCACGCACCCCTGCACATGCTGCACGCTGCACACGCTGCACACTGTGCACACGCCCCTGCACACGCTGCGCACGCTGCACACTGAGCACGCACCCCTGTGCACGCTGCACGCTGAGCACGTGCCCCTGCAACGCTGCACACACTGCACACACAGGGAGCCCAGCGTCACCAGGTGGCCCTGCCCTGCCTCCCAGCCTCAGGAAGGCCACGCCACCCACCTGCTCAGGGGCTGCTGCACTTGTTGGGCTGGTCTCTTCTGGAGTTCCTTCTTCACCCCCAGAGGCTGGTGTGTCGGGGCCTGCATCTCCATGGTCCACAGGGCAGAGCAGGGCTTTGTCAATCTCCACAGGCCTCTGGCCAGGGGATGAAACCTCTAGTTCTCTGGAGGCCCCAGAGTCTTCGTTTATGTGGCAGCCAGGTCTGGACGCCCATTCCAGCTGGAGTTTGGGTTCCTGCTCAAGCCACAGCCTGCTTTTGGGCTGTGTCTTGAAGCTAGAGAGGCCGTTTTTCCCCTCCAGAAAGCCCTTCCTAGGGTCCGGGGGAAAGACTTCGGCTATGGTCAGCTGCTTCTTGGAGCTGGCTAGTGACAGGCAGAGGGTGCTGGCCTCGGGGCCATCCGTCAGCAGCCTGGGGAAGGTCTGCACTTTCCGCAAGGGGCTCCGCTTGAGGGTGTCTCTGTCCAGCTCACCAAGGGGACACCTGGCATCCAGGACAAGGCTGGCCAGCTCTTCCCTGCCAAGGCCCTCGCCATTTTTCATGGGGACTGACAGCAGCGTCTTCATGGGTGAAGGTCTGGAGCCCTGGCCCACCTCCCCTTCTTTATCTCCAGAGGCAGAGGGCTGTGGCAGGCTTTCTGTGGTGGACAGGGCCTCTGGGTCGGTGCTGAAGTCTCCAGAGGGCCTTTTGGGGCCCGTGCTTCTTGGAGCAGGTCTCCCTCTCCAGGCATTCTCGTTGATGTCTGGGCACAAAGCTGGATGTGGCTACTTCCCACAGGGGGGCCCCTCCAGGGACTTGCCTGGAATGGCATCCCTCCCGACCCCTCTGCCTTCAGCCCATCCCTCCCGACCCCTCTGCCTTCAGCCCATCCCTCCCGACAGCCCTGCCCTCAGCCCATCCCCCCACACCCCTGCCCTCAGCCCATCCCTCCCGACACCCCTGCCCTCAGCCCATCCCTCCCGACACCTCTGCCCTCAGCCCATCCCCCCACAGCCCTGCCCTCAGCCCATCCCCCCACAGACCTCCAGCAAGGTCTTGCAGGCAGGAGCTGCAGCCCCATGCTCTCAGACCCCTACTCCACCGCTCAGCCTGGGCCCTAGACCCTTCCGGATGAGGCCCCCGGCGCACCAGGGTCTCACCCCCCTCTGCCTAGAGCTTCCCAGGAGGTGAGCGTGGCTGTCCCATGACCAGGTCCCCAAGCTCCATTTTTCTATAAGGGCTATACAAGTGAACCCCCGAAGGAGAGCGCAATCTGGCTGCAGCCATGGGGCTGCCAGTCCTGGGGCTTGAACTCTGGGCCTGGGCGCTGTCCCTCAGCTCTTCAGCTCAAGGCGAGCACTCTACCACTTGAGCCACAGTGCCACTTCGGGTTTTCTGAGTGGTTTATTGGAGACTTTCCTGCCCGGTCTGGCTTTGAACTCAGATACAGCTGGGATTACAGGTGTGAGACACCAGCGCCTGGCTGCACTGCTGAACTTGACACTCTGTTGTTGTGGGAGCCATGCTGGGGGGGAGGCCCTCCCAGGCCCTCAGGGGGCTCTGGGGGTTCACTTCTCAAAGCTCTCAGGATGACTGAGATGTTTCAGGACCCCGTGTGAGCCACGAACCCCAGCTGTGGAGTAGCTGCTTTGCATGTGTGTAAGCACGGGGAGTGGGAGAATACAACTGTTCACAGCGAAACTCGCTCAGGAGACAACCTCAGCCTGAACCACTCCTGGGCTCGGCTGGGCCCCCACCGCCCACTGCCTGGCATCTGCCCGCTGCCTGGCGTCTGCACCGCGGAGAGGCTCACGTGTGTGCACAGCACACACACACGAGTGCACGTGGCCTGCATGCACGTGGCTGTACAGATGAGCATGCATTTGTGTGGGAGCGTATCATGCAACAGGTGTTTGTGACGTTGCTCTGTGTGTGACAGTGTGAAGACCGCCAGGACAGCTGCATATGGGCACACTCTGCTGGATATGGGGATGTGCCCTTGAAAGTGTGCAGATGGGTGTGTCGTGTGAACATAGGTGTGTGCAGGCACCCTTGAGCACTCTTGTGCAAGCTCTGAGAGTGGGTGTGTGCAGGATGTCTCTGAGCATTCTGTACGTATTTCACGCCTCTGTGCACACACACGCAATGTGCATGTACATGATGGAGGTGCAAGTGGGCCCCGCATGCTTACCTTGAAATGCTCCGAAGGACTCAATGGAGAGTACCCGCCTCCCGGTGGCTGAGAGGCTTCGGCACAGGCGGCAGGAGGATGCAGGCTGCACCTTCTCCTCACACAGAGTGATGATGCTCTGCAGGTTTGAGTGCACCTCTCAGGGAGGGGCTGTCTCCTGAGACCCCAGCCCACAGGAGGCTCCCCTGGCCTCCTGAGACCCCCACCCAGCTCACACGAGGATCCCCTGGCCTCCTGAGACCCCCACCCAGACCACACGGGGATCCCCTGGCCTCCTGAGACCCCCACCCAGCTCACACGAGGATCCCCTGGCCTCCTGAGACCCCCACCCAGACCACACGGGGCTCCCCTGGCCTCCTGAGATCCCCACCCAGACCACACCGGGCTCCCGTGGCCTCCTGAGACCCCCACCCAGCCCACACGGGGATCCCCTGGCCGCCTGAGACCCCCACCCAGACCACATGGGGCTCCTCTGGCCTCTTGAGACCCCCACCCAGCCCACACGGGGATCCCCTGGCCTCCTGAGACCCCCACCCAGACCACACCGGGCTCCCGTGGCCTCCTGAGATCCCCACCCAGACCACACGAGGCTCCCGTGGCCTCCTGAGACCCCCACCCAGACCACACCGGGCTCCCGTGGCCTCCTGAGACCCCCACCCAGCCCACACGGGGACCCCCTGGCCGCCTGAGACCCCCACCCAGCCCACACGGGGCTCCCCTGGCCTCCTGAGACCCCCCAGCCCACATGAGGTTCCCCTGGCCTCCTGAGACCCCCCCAGCCCACATGAGGCTCCCCTGGCCTCCTGAGACCCCCACCCAGCCCACACGAGGCATCCAGTAGTCTCCAGACCTGCCTGTGTTACCACAGGTATTTTTTGGTACAAAAAACAAGGTGCCCCGAGATGACAGAAAATAGATTGCTTTGCTCATGATAACTATAAGCAAAAAATGTTCATTACAAAAATGTATCATTCTTCTTTAAACTGACAATGCCACCAAAACCTGGCAAGGAACACTGTGAGCTGTGTCTGCACAGGCACGTGGCCTTGGACCTGGGGGAGGGCCGGACGGCTGAGCCTACCTGGAGGTCTGGCCGGTCCCTGGGGTCTTCCGCCTGCATCTGGCCCAGCAGCGTCTCCAGATCTGGGCTCAGCCTGAGTTCCAGCTGCGGTTCGGACACGAACTCCAAGGCGGCCCTCAGCGTTGCCCCCAGGGAGTAGATGTGAGCCTGTGGCACCGGAGTGCTAGCTCAGTTCACAGGCAGCCTTCCGCCCTGGGCCAGGCTGTGGCCCTGGAGGGGCCACCACGTGGGTGACTGGCCCTCTCCCCCTGCAGCCTGCCACCCTCCTGTGCTGGGTCTGTCCCTGTCCCCTGCAGCCTGCCACCCTTCCTGTGCTGGGTCTGTCCCTGTCCCCTGCCACCCCTCCCGTGCTGGGTCTGTCCCCTGCAGCCTGCCACCCCTCCCGTGCTGGGTCTGTCCCCTGCAGCCTGCCACCCTTCCCATGCTGGGTCTGTCCCCTGCAGCCTGCCACCCTTCCCGTGCTGGGTCTGTCCCTCTCCCCCTGCAGCCTGCCACCCTTCCCATGCTGGGTCTCTCCCCTGCAGCCTGCCACCCTTCCCGTGCTGGGTCTGTCCCCTGCAGCCTGCCACCCTTCCCGTGCTGGGTCTGTCCCTCTCCCCCTGCAGCCTGCCACCCTTCCCGTGCTGGGTCTGTCCCCTGCAGCCTGCCACCCTTCCCGTGCTGGGTCTGTCCCCTGCAGCCTGCCACCCTCCTGTGCTGGGTCTGTCCCTCTCCCCCTGCAGCCTGCCACCCCTCCCGTGCTGGGTCTGTCCCTGTCCCCTGCCCCCTGCCACCCTTCCCGTGCTGGGTCTGTCCCTGTCCCCTGCAGCCTGCCACCCTTCCCGTGCTGGGTCTGTCCCTGTCCCCTGCCCCCTGCCACCCTTCCCGTGCTGGGTCTGTCCCCTGCAGCCTGCCACCCCTCCTGTGCTGGGTCTGTCCCTGTCCCCTGCAGCCTGCCACCCTTCCCGTGCTGGGTCTGTCCCCTGCAGCCTGCCACCCCTCCCGTGCTGGGTCTGTCCCTGTCCCCTGCAGCCTGCCACCCCTCCCGTGCTGGGTCTGTCTCGTTCAGCCCTGGTCCTCAGAGGCACAGACCTGCCCTCCCCATGCTGCTCTCATGTCACAGACATTTGAGCAGGAGGAATGGTTTTGGAGTTTGTCTGTTTGAGAGAGGAGGCCTCTAAGGACACAGCAGAGTGGGCCCTGCACGCGATGTAGCTGGAAGGCTTCCGCTTACATCCTGGCCTGGCTGGAGGGGCAGGTGCGCCCTGTGGGCCACCCTGTCTGTCTCTCCACTTCACAAAATCCAAATGCCTGTGAGGGTCTTGTGACTGTGGTGTCTGTTTATGTGAACTTGGAAAGGAGTAGCTCTTTCTCAGGTGTGTGTGACACGTGTATGCGTTCAAGGGGCACGGCCAGTGGATGCTCTCTCGCTCCTGCACGGATTATTTGCTTCTGGCTTGCTTTCTGTGTGTGAAATCCTTCCTGCTGCATTCACTCCTGGGGTCCTGGGGTCCTTGTTGCTATTATAAACAGGAGATTTAGCTTTGATCTCTAACTTGTAATTATAATACACAGTCATTGACTTCTTTCTGGGCCGTACCTTTCAGCTGGCCTCACAGCCTTTCATTCTCTTAGATTCCAGTCCCTTGCACCCAGCACATACACGCTCTCTGCTCCGAGTCCAAGTCTGCTGTGCTGCCCACCCCGAGTCCACCGTTCCCCCCAAGGCCATGGCTTCAACAGGCCATCCCTGAGCTGCCACCCAGAACAAAGGCAGTTGTGGAAGAAGGCCCAGCCTGTCCAGAGGCTGTCAGGCTGTGGTGGGAGAGGCCACCCAAGGCACAGGGCAGGGGGAGGGCTTGGAGAGCCATCCAGCACCTACCTCAAAGGTGTTTCCGGTCAGGTCGAACTCTGGGGGGACAAAGGCTCCCTCAGGGTCATCTTGGGGGAAGAAAAGAGAAGGTGCTCAGGTCTCAACCACAAAGCAAAGCATCTGCTGAGCGATGACCCTGACAACCTCAGAGCTCTGCGTTTCGGGGCCTCCTTGAACCTGGGGAGTGGCGCGGGTCCCTGGGGCCTGTGCCTCACACTCAAGACTGGTCCAATTGCCTCCAAGGCAATCGCAGCTCACAGAGAAATTGGACCCTTAACGGTAAATGTGGGAGGAGGGAAAGGGTTTTGTCCACGTCCCTGAAAAGGAACAGGGAAGCTGTAGTTTGGGAAATCAGGCTCTCCCTGGAAAGGGCTGTGCAACGGAGTGGCCAACCGACCGCTCTCCAGACTCCCTTGCAGTCCCTGTGCCTGGCCCCTGCAGCCCAGGAGGACCTGCCCAGAGGAGCACCCTGGTGAGGGCCTCGGGGACGCCCGAGCTCAGCGGAGCCTCAGGCGAAGAACCACATGGGGCTCCAGAGGAAACCCAGGCCCTGATCCACGTCCTGGGTGCTGCCTGGTGCCCTCCATGGCCCTGACGGGTCCTGTCCTCCCCGCTGCGCTGTCTCCCCTCTGCACTGGCCTCTGATCGGGCACCTTCGCCTCCCCTCCCCCCCCCCCCCATTGGGTGCCTCCCTCCCCTCTCCCCCCCACTCCACCGCCCTCTGGTGCTCACCACTGAGCTGCTCCATGAAGCACACATTCCCACTAGTGTTGAAGGCCAGAGTGTCGGGAGTGATGCACAGGGTCTGGAAGAGGGCAGCGTGGACCACGCTCCGCATGGACAGGCTGCACTCCAGGCACACGGCCCAGGCCTCCTGCTCGCTGAGGCCTCGGTCCCGCAGGGACAGGACGTCAGCCAGGGACACATTCTCCTGCCAACACATGTCTGTGTGTGAGCCCAGAGCGACGGCCCAGCCGGGGCCGAGTACCCAGGCTGAGATGGGTTCTCTGGAAGCGGACACTCCAGGCAGCGTCTCATTCTGTGGGCCAGGTGAGGGGTGTGGGTTAGGTCTTTTTGAGGCCAAGACTGACAGCCTGGCTGTCAGAACCACAGAGCATATGGGAAGTCCACCAGTACCGTGCCAGCCCCCACGGCTCCGTGGGGCTCCTCCTTCCAGGCCTGGGAGGCTGGATGGGGACCTCCACTTGTGCCCAGCTGGCACCTGCTCATGGACGTGGCCAGGTTCACCGCTCCACTTCCCCGTGGAGGCTGTGAATGCACAAGCTGGGTGCGAGGCCTGTGGAGGCGGGGTGAAGCCCGCCGAGAGTGCGTCTGTGCACAGAAGGCCCTCAGCTGGGCCGAGGTGACATCGTCACAGGCAGCGCCCGGGCTCACCTCACAGATCTAAGTGGGCTCCAGGGCCTCAAAGAGCTTAGCCGCGAAAATGAACACACACGTGTGCACACTACCACCTGCACACACGTCCCGCAGCACAGTGCTCCTACCGCAGGCTACCCACACCTGTGGGCATTTCTTTCATGTGTGCACACGCTGAACACGCACCAACACAAGCACGTTCACCCTCGCGTGCTCACCTTCTAAACACCAACACACAGGCATGCTGCTATGGTCTGACTGCAAGACGTTCCCTGCAGCCTCCTTTCACAGAGTCTGGACTGGTAGCACTGCTTACAGCATTGGCTAAGCTGGATGGGCAAGTCATGGGGGCGTGGCCTGGCTGGAGGAGGTGGGCCTCTGGGGGCGTGGCCTGGCTAGAGGAGGTGGGCCACTGGGGGCGTGGCCTGGCTGGAGGAGGTGGGCCTCTGGGGGTGTGGCCTGGCTGGAGGAGGTGGGCCCCTGGGGGCGTGGCCTGGCTGGAGGAGGTGGGCCCCTGGGGGCGTGGCCTGGCTGGAGGAGGCAAGCTGCTGGGGGCGTGGCCTGGCTGGAGGAGGTGGGCCACTGGGGGTGTGGGTACCTAGTCCCAGTTGCTCTTTCTGCTCTCTGGCTCCCTAGGTGAGCAGCTCTGCTCCGTCGCCCTAGGAAGTTCTTCTGTACCAAAAGCCCAGGAACAATCAGGACTGAAACCTCTGAAACTGGACCACAATGAACCTTCCCACCCCGAACAGGACTGGACTCAAGTGCTCTACCACAATGAACCTTCCCACCCTGAACGGGGCTGGACTCAAGGGCTCTACCACAATGAACTTCCCCATCCAGAATGGGGCTGGACTCAAGGGCTCTACCACAATGAACCTTCCCATCCTGAATGGGACTGGACTCAAGGGCTCTACCACAATGAACCTTCCCACTTGAACGGGGCTGGACTCAAGGGCTCTACCACAATGAACCTTCCCATCCAGAATGGGGCTGGACTCAAGGGCTCTACCACTTGAGTCAGGCCCTGTGACCTTTTGCCTTTAGTTGGCTTCTCAGACAGGGTCTTACACTCACTTTGTTGGTCTGGCTTTGAACCATGGTCCTCCCTCCTCTGCCTCTTGAGGATCTGGAGGGACAGACATGCACCCCAGGCCCTGCCTTCCTTCTTCCTTTACAAACTATCGCTCTCAGGTATTTGTCACAGCAATGAAAGGTCTAATACGTATGCACACACTCCCAAAGTGCTGACACATTTTTATATACACACATACACACCCAGGCAGTGAAAGAAAACATTCTCATACATAAGTAGACACATTGCGAACACATTTTTACACATGCATGCTTGTGTAAACCAAGGCTCAAGCCTACATCCTTACTAACAACCCTGAGCTATCTATTCACACCCTAACAACCCTGTCCCACCCATTCATGCCCTAACAGCCTTGTCCATGCATTCACACCCTGACTAACAACCCTGTCCAAGCATTCACACCCTAACAACCCTGTCCACGCATTCACACCCTGACTAACAACCCTGTCCATGCATTCACACCCTGACTAACAACCCTGTCCACACATTCACACCCTGACTAACAACCCTGTCCACACATTCACACCCTGACGACCTTGTTCACACATTCACACCCTGACAGCCTTGTTCACACATTCACACCCTAACAGCCTTGTTCATACATCCACACCCTGACTAGTAACCCTTTCCTTCATTCACACCCTAACAGCCCTGTCCACACATTGACACACTGACAACCCTGTTCACGCATTCACACCCTAACAACCTTCTCCATACATTCACATCCTAGCAGACTTGTTCACACGTTTACACCCTAACAGCCTTGTTCACGAATTCACACCCTAACAGTCTTGTTCACACGTTCACACCCTAACAGCCTTGTTCACGAATTCACACCCTAACAACCCTGTCCACACATTGACACTCTGACTAACAGCCTTGTTCTCGCATTCACACCCTGACTAACAGCTTTGTCCACACAGTCACACCCTAACAACCCTGTCCCATCCACCCACACCCTAACAGCCTTGTTCACACATTCACACCCTAACAGCTTTGTCCACACATTCACACCCTAACAGCCTTGTTCACACATTCACACCCTAACAACCTTGTTCACACATTCACACCCTAACAGCTTTGTCCACACATTCGCACCCTAACAGCCTTGTTCACACATTCACACCCTAACAGCTTTGTCCACACAGTCACACCCTAACAACCCTGTCCATCCATTCACACCCTAACAGCCTTGTTCACACATTCACACCCTAACAGCTTTGTCCACACAGTCACACCCTAACAACCCTGTCCATCCATTCACACCCTAACAGCTTTGTCCACACATTCACACCCTAACAGCCTTGTTCACACATTCACACCCTAACAACCCTGTCCATCCATTCACACCCTAACAGCCTTGTTCACACATTCACACCCTAACAGCCTTGTTCACACATTCACACCCTAACAGCCTTGTTCACACATTCACACCCTAACAGCTTTGTCCACACAGTTACACCCTAACAACCCTGTCCCATCCACCCACACCCTAACAGCCTTGTTCACACATTCACACCCTAACAGCTTTGTCCACACAGTCACACCCTAACAACCTTGTTCACACATTCACACCCTAACAACCCTGTCCATCCATTCACACCCTAACAGCTTTGTCCACACATTCACACCCTAACAGCCTTGTTCACACATTCACACCCTAACAACCCTGTCCATCCATTCACACCCTAACAGCCTTGTTCACACATTCACACCCTAACAGCTTTGTCCACACATTCACACCCTAACAGCCTTGTTCACACATTCACACCCTAACAGCTTTGTTCACACATTCACACCCTAACAGCCTTGTTCACACATTCACACCCTAACAGCTTTGTCCACACAGTTACACCCTAACAACCCTGTCCCATCCACCCACACCCTAACAGCCTTGTTCACACATTCACACCCTGACTCCTAACAACCTGTCCACACATTCACACCCTAACTACCCTGTCCACGCATTTACTTCCTAACAGCCTTATTCACGCATTCACATCCTAACAACCCTGTCCACACATTCACACCCTGACAGCCCTGTTTGATCCATTCACACTCTGACTAATAACCCTGTCCACACATTCACACCCTGACTAACAGCCTTGTTCACACATTCACATCCTAACAACCGTTTCCACGAATTCACACCCTAACAACCCTGTCCACACACTCACACCCTCACAACTCTGTCCTATGCATTCACACTCTGACTAACAACCCTGTCCTGTGCATTCACATAGGTCAGTACCACCCATGTTCCTAATGTTTCCATTTCATGTCCTCACTCACAAGCACACACAATCACACACAGACACATGTGCTTACTCGTCACACACATACATAAACAATGCATGTCCATGCATCCCCCATAGTCCTCCATATACATTCAGACACATCTACAAACATACATGCTCACATATCACACACATATGCACATACATATGCATGTGTATGTCCACATATCCCCCATATTCCTCCATACACATGCTCTCACACATTCACACGCCTCTGCATACTCAGACCTGTACAGCCTATACACATGATTGTACATAAGCACACACACCTCTCCACATACATACACCACACACGTTTATACACTTGTATACCCCCACGTGCTCACATACATGTCCATAATTCTTCCACACACATACATACTAGCACAAGACACACACAATGTGCCTATACACACATGTATTGCTCTGTACACATGCTCACACACATATGTTTACACACAAATGTTTCTACACATGCACACGTTTTCCTACATACACAAATAGGCACATACATTTGCATCTCTGCTTCCACAGAATGATAATACAGCACACACCCACCAGCATGCCTCCATTCACACACACACCACACACATGCAGAGGAATGCACTTGCACACAAATTCAGTTTAGCACACATGTACACACCACGCATGAGGTACACACGGCACCCACTAAACAAGGCCATAAACAACCCCAAAGATGCCGTGGGCTGGCTCAGCGCAGGGGAGGGGCGCCCACGGCTGAGTCTGAGCCAGTCCTGCCGGCTCTGGCCAGCAGGCTGCCTGCTTGCAGCTGGTGACAGGATGTACTGCCAAGACAAGGCAGCGTGGCTTCACAAGCTGCAGGGTGAGTGGTCCTGCAACCTCGCACGGCTTCCGGCAGAGACCCAGGTGTCCTGAGAACTGGGCCCTGGCCAGCCCTGGGGCAGCTGGACTCTGCAGCCCCCGTATCTGTTTGCAGTGGGAATGTCTGAACCCCAGGGCCCGAGTCATTGCTCCCAGAGGTGGACAACACCTCTGGGAACAGGTCCCTCTCAGCCCTCCGGCACCTGTGTCTCCAGGGTCGATCCTGCTCATACCGGGCTCCGGGAGCCTGCAGGCTCCCTCCCTGGGTGCTGTCTGTGCTGTCTCTGGGGCCTGCAGCTGCTTCTGCCCCCTCTTCTCTGCCCTGCTCTGTCTTTTGCCCGAATCCAGGTGGCTGGACTAGTGGAGGCTGGAGAGTGGGAGGAGCCTTGGGTCAGGGGCCAGGGACAAGGATGAGAGACCGGGAGGGACGCAGGCAGCACTCACCAGCCGCTCAGCCTCAGTCCATGGCCCCCCCAAATTCCAGTGGACAACTCTGAGGACAGGAGCCAATACCCCAGGGGAGTTCGGCTCCAAGTGAAGTACACCGGGCCTGGCGAGCGCTGTGGTTAAAGCCACACTGAGGCTTAAGCAACCCAGGCAGACCTTTCAGAGCAGCCAGCGGGGCTCAGCTCCTACGCACGGGGCCTGCGTGTGTGCCACAGGAGGGACCCAGGTCCAGGCATCCTGACCCCCATGCTCAGCCCAGCTGGTTTCTGACAGCATGGATGGACCTCCGGCCGGCATCTGCGGCCCCATCTGTGGGTTTGGCTGGCGAGAGGGTTCTTCACCAGTCCCAGCCCAGGGCTGTGACGTGCCCAGGGCTCCCAGCCCCCTCCCTCCTTGAAGCCCTCTGACGGCCTCCTGCTCTGAATCTGACTGGGCACAGGCCACAGGACTCCGCGGCCCCTTTCACGCCCCACCTGTGGGCCCTGTCTACCTTCAGTCTCCAAACTCGGCCCAAACCTCTCCCCAGGGGGCTCCACAGGCACTTGCTGGGCTTGGAGAAGGTGAAAATGTCTCACACCCCTGGTGGAGGTTGGGATAACACCTTGTTGATACCCAATGGTGCCATCTTTATCTCCAGTTGCCTGGGTCTGTATCCTTGAAGGCCAGGACTCCTGACCATAGCTGCCTGGTGTGGTCCTGCCCTGACTAGCCCATGGTCAGGCCTCTGATCCCACATCTGACCATAGCAGCTAAAACTCCATACAAATCCGGGAGGGGCACTTCCTCTAGGAAGCCTACCCTGCTTGATGCGGGCCGGTGTCTCCACTGTGTCCCTAGCGTCCTTTGCCTGCAGGTGTCCGGCATCCCAACACTGGCACAGACTCCAGGCCCAGCCAGGCCAGCCCGGTCCACGCCCCTGCCAGTCATGGTGGCTTCCAGCCAAGCCCACTCACGTACCACATGCCTCCAGGCCACCCAGAGTGGAACTGCCGGGATGTGGGTGCCGGTCTCTGCTTTCTAATGAATGCCAACCTGCGTTCCAACAGGCTGTTCCCACTCCCACGGTAGCCAGGGAGTGCCCTCCAGCATGCCCGCCCCGGCCTCTGAGATCTGTCGGGCGGCCAGGGCAGCCATTGCCCTCAGTGTGTACCACGCATCCTTCGGGTCGAAGAACCTCACGTGCCCACCAGTCATTCTGGGTTTTCTCTTGGGCGGGGTGAGGTAGCGACATTCGTGGGACTTTGGGGTTGGGGCCAGTCTGAAGATTGTTGTCTCTCTGTCTCTCCCTCTCTCCTTTCCCCCTCCCTCCATCTCCCTTTTTCAAGTCAGGGTCTTGCTATGCACCCTAGGTTGGCCTGGACCTGCAATCCTCCCCCCTCTGCCTCCCGAGGGCTGGGATTGTAGATGTGTGCCACAACATGCAGCTTTAGGGGTCCATTTCTTGACCTCCCTGGAGTGACTTCCTATGTCCCACGTGGCCTGTCCCCACGTTGCCAGCTGTGGACAGGGGTCCTCCGGCATGGCCCATGGGGCCACGTCACAGCCTCACCCCCCCTTCCCCCCGGCTGGCACCGGCAGCAACCATGGAGGCTGGCAGGCAGTCCTGTGAGCCCCATGCACATCCACTTAAAATCCTCCACGGAGCTGTGCGGTACTTGGCACCATCGCAGGACGGAGGCCCGGCCTCGCTGCCGGGACACGGACATTCCTGCAGCCGAGGTATCAGGGAGATGACGGCCAAAGGCGCTCCGGTGTGAGTCGGGTCACACCGTGGCCCGCTCTGTTCTGGTGGTGCCAGGGTGCCTGGGGCACACAGAGGAGGCCCCTGAAGTGCACACAAAAAGGTGCCGTGTGCAAAGGGGCTCCGATCTGCTGCCTTTGGCAACCGGGAGCTGAAGCTTCTCAGCCACCACAAAACGCATCCTGTCCTCTGGCAGTTCCTGAGGCTGTGCTGCGACCATCCTTCCTTGATCATCAAAGCCGGGCGATCCAAAGGGTTATTTATTCCCGGGCTCTCCTCTCTGCACCTTCAACTGCACTAAATCCAGGCCAGCCGAGGGTGGAGGCAGCGCCACCCCCGCATGCCCTGGCCCTGGGCCTGCAGGGGCGGTGGACTCCTGGTCCCTTCTGAGGCCCCTGGGGGAGGCCCTCAGAGGGGGCCGGGCTGGGCCTCTGGGCAGTGAGTCTGGGGGCTCTGGCCGAGCTGCAGCACCCGCTGGCCCTGAGGGTGGCCGGGGTCTCAGGCACCAGGGCCCTGGACACCTGCTGCCTTGGGGTGCACAGAGGGAAGGCGGATCCCCTGGAGGCGCAGGGCCCGACTCTGGGGAGGGGACCGTCCCCGGGGACAGCCGGGCTCCGCCAGGGGGCGGGCGGGGCCGGGTTTGGGGCTCCCGCCGCAGCCAGGCCGCGGCCCCCGGGGTCCCCAGGCGCGGGGCTCACCTCGTCCTCCGGCAGGGTGGGGAGCGGCTCGAAGTTGTAGAAGTCCAGGTCCTTGGCGTCCTCGCAGAAGCCCGCGGCGGGCTCCATGGCCGCGTCCTGCGCGCCGCCCCGGCCTGCGCAGCCGGCGGGGCTCCGGCCGCGTCCCCGCCGCGTCCCCGCGCCGCGCGCCCGCGCCGCGTCCCCGCGCCGCGCGCCCGGCCTCGGCCCCGGCCCCCTCCCGGGCCCCCACCGGCCGCCGCCCGTGCGCTCGCGGGGCTGCACCGGGCGCCGCGGCTACGCGCGCTCCGCCGCCATGGCAACGCGCCCGCTGCTGCCGCAGTGTCGCCCGGGGTGGGGCCGGGGTGGCGGGGCCCTCAGCTGCCGCGATGCTCGGGGCGGCGGCCGGGCCTGGGACTGTGGGGCGGAGCCACTTGGCGCCTGGCGGCTCGCGGGGGCCGCGCCCGCCTGGGCGCACGGGGCGCGGGGGGGGGGGGGGGCGGGGAGGGCGCGGGGCTGGGGCCGGGGCCGCCGAGCGCCCCGCGCCAGCCTGGGCGCACGCGGCAGGGGCGCAGGGCCGGGCCCCGCGCCGGCCCGGCGGCCCCAGCGGGTGCACGGGCTCACCGGAGCCCTGTGAGGGGTCAGAGCGCCCCAGGCAGCACGGTGCGGTGCCGTCCAGAGCCAGCCCCTGGTGCCAGGGCACCCAAGCCCACTGAACAAAACGCCAGACACTGCTCCCCGTCCTTGGGGTGCTTGGAGCTCACGGACCCAGCAGGGCCAGGAGCCAGGAGGGAGGAAAGGCAGCGCACGGCGCGCAGCCCCAGGCCGGACGCTTCCCTGCGCAGGCTCCGGCCCCGCAGGAGGCCTCCAGCCACGCGGCCTCTGGGGGTCCGCGCCACGGACAGGCCGCGGGCTGACCTAGCCTCGCCTTGCTCCCTCACCTGTATCTAATGCACACAGTTAGCACACCTCCCGGAGGCCTCCCCCAGGCCAAATCAGAAGTCTATAGATGTGTCCGGTGCGCCAGCAGGCCCCTGGTCCAACGCAAGGACTTGGTGTGCTCTGGCCTGCCAGCCTCCCTCCTTCTCTCCTCTCTCCTTCTCTCCTTCCTCCTTCCTTTCCTCTCTCCTTCTCTCCCTCCCTCCTTCTCTTCTCCCTCCTTCTCTCCTTCCTCCTTCTCTCTCATCCTTCTTCCTTTCTTCCTTCCTTCTCTCCCTCCCTCCTTCTCTCCTCCCTCCTTCTCTCTTTCCTCCTTTTCTTTTTCCTTCTCTGTCCCTTCGCTTCCCTCCCTTTCCCTCCCCCTCCTCCTCCTCTCTTCTCCCCCACCACTCTGCAATACTTGGATGTGGACTCAGGGTCTCATGTTGGTAGGTAGGTACTCTACTACTTAAGCCATGCTCTTATTCTCTTTTGCTTCATTTTTCAGATAGGATCTGTTTTTGTCTGGGCCGGCTTGTATCCTAATCCTGTCTGTACCTCCTTTGTAGCTGGGATCATAGATGTGAGGTACTGCTGCTGCCCAGCTTTGCTTTTTTTTTTTTTTTGCCAGTCCTGGGGCTTGAACTCAGGTCTGGACACTGGGCTTGAGCTTCTTTTGCTCAAGGCTAGCACTCTGCCACTTGAGCCACAGTTCCACTTCCAGCCTTTTTCTGCTTATGTGGTACTGAGGAACCCAACCCAGGGCTTCATGCATGCAAGGCGAGCGCTCTACCATGAGCCACCTTCCCAGAGCCCAGCTTATTTTTTTGGAGGTAAGTCTTGCTTTTTTTTTTCCTGAGGCTAGCCTTGATTGGTGATCCTCTGGTCGGCCTCCCAAGTAGCCAGGGTTGCAGGTGGAAGCCAAGCCACCCTGCTGGGTTGCACTCTGTTTTTCTGACATCTGACCTTTTTCATTTACTTCCCTGGCTGGTCTACTCATTCTCTGCCTCATTTTACTACCTCTCCTGAAAGGCCTTTCCTCACCAATTCTCCATCTGCCCTGTGTAGCTCCGGGTCTGATCTCCGTGCAGCTCTGGGTCTAATCTCTGTGCTCCTCCAAGTCTGATCTCTGTGCTGCTCCGGGTCTGATCTCTGTGCTCCTCCAAGTCTGATCTCTGTGCTGCTCCAGGTCTGATGTCCGTGCTGCTCCAGGTCTGATCTCCGCGCTGCTCCGGGTCTGATGTTTGTGCTGCTCCCGGTCTGATCTCTGTGCTCCTCCGGGTCTGTTCTCCGTGCTCCTCTAGGTCTGACCTCTGTGCTCCTCCGGGTCTGATCTCTGTGCTCCTCCGGGTCTGATCTCTGTGCTCCTCCGGGTCTGATCTCTGTGCTGCTCCCGGTCTGATCTCCGCGCTCCTCCAAGTCTGATCTCTGTGCTCCTCCAAGTCTGATCTCCGCGCTCCTCCGGGTCTGATCTCTGTGCTCCTCCAAGTCTGATCTCTGTGCTGCTCCGGGTCTGATCTCTGTGCTGCTCCGGGTCTGATCTCTGTGCTGCTCCAGGTCTGATGTCCGTGCTGCTCCAGGTCTGATCTCCGTGCTGCTCCGGGTCTGATCTCTGTGCTCCTCCGGGTCTGTTCTCCGTGTTGCTCCGGGTCTGATCTCTGTGCTTCTCCGGGTCTGTTCTCCGTGTTGCTCCAGGTCTGATCTCTGTGCTCCTCCGGGTCTGACCTCTGTGCTCCTCCAAGTCTGATCTCTGTGCTGCTCCGGGTCTGATCTCTGTGCTGCTCCAGGTCTGATGTCTGTGCTGCTCCAGGTCTGATCTCCGCGCTGCTCCGGGTCTGATGTTTGTGCTGCTCCCGGTCTGATCTCTGTGCTCCTCCGGGTCTGTTCTCCGTGTTGCTCCAGGTCTGATCCCCCTGCTGCTCCCTGTCTGACCTCCGTGCAGGTCCCGGTCTGATCTGTCTTCCCCTCAGTTGCCATTCCCGGAGGGATCCAGGGGACCACAGATGCTTTCTGCTGAGACCTGTTTCCTCCTTGGCATGGCCCTCCAGGTGCCGCCAGGACCCGTCTTGTCCCCTGACCTCCTCCAGCAGGTCAAGGAGGCTGGTTACTGCCCTGAGTTGCTCAGGCTGAATATAGAGGCCAGTGGAACAGGGCTTCAAAGCTTTGGCTCTCATTTTTTCGAAAGGATTTTAGACGAGCTGTTAAATCACTTGTACGTTTTGAAGCTGGCGTATAATTTAAAAATGTAAATAATTGCAAAGAATGTAATTTCTGGTGTGGTGTAAATATTGACGTTCTGAAATAAAGCTGTTAGTCATCATCTCAAATATATCCAAGACGCTAAATACCAAAGTGGCTTTGAATGTCACCATCAATCATCAAAAATCTATAAACACGCTCTTCTCTACTCAGAAATAACCACACCTTTCCCTTAAGCTCATTATAAACACACATTTTAATTTATCCTACAAGGAAGTTTTCATTGCTGTTCCTACTGACCCCTCCCCTCAGTCTGCCCTGTGAAACAATACTCGTACGTTTTAATAAACTGAATTTTTTCCAACTTTTGTTAGCATATTGTCAGATCAGAGTTGAAAAGTGGTGTACACAGGGGTTTCACTGTATGTGCATACGATACACCTGATCTAACCTAATCTTTATTATGGCCTACCCCGTTTCTAATAAAAAATTCAGCTTTTATTTTCAGTTACTGGTGACCAGAGGCCGCCTTCCAGGGGTCTCGCAGGCCGGGCAGGCACACCACACAGGAGGTGGTGCCCCAGGGTCTCTGTGCAGCCCACGCCTGCTCCATTGCAGCTGTGGTTGATGTGTCTGTCTGTCCCGTGGTCCCTGTGTGCAGGATGGCGTGTCTGTCTGTCCCGTGGTCCCTGGGTAGGGTGGCGTGTCTGTCTGTCCCATGGTCCCTGCGTGCAGGGTGGTGTGTCTGTCTGTCCCGTGGTCCCTGCGTGCAGGGTGGCGTGTCTGTCTGTCCCGTGGTCCCTGGGTAGGGTAGCGTGTCTGTCTGTCCCGTGGTCCCTGTGTGCAGGGTGGCGTGTCTGTCTGTCCCGTGGTCCCTGGGTAGGGTGGCGTGTCTGTCTGTCCCGTGGTCCCTGCGTGCAGGGTGGTGTGTCTGTCTGTGCCGTGGTCCCTGCGTGCAGGGTGGCGTGTCTGTCTGTCCCGTGGTCCCTGGGTAGTGTGGCGTGTCTGTCTGTCCCGTGGTCCCTGTGTGCAGGGTGGTGTGTCTGTCTGTGCCGTGGTCCCTGGGTGCAGGGTAGCGTGTCTGTCTGTCCCGTGGTCCCTGGGTGCAGGATAGCGTGTCTCTGTCCCGTGGTCCCTGTGTGTAGGGTGGTGTGTCTGTGCCGTGGTCCCTGGGGTAGTGTGGCGTGTCTGTCTGTCCCGTGGTCCCTGTGTGTAGGGTGGTGTGTCTGTCTGTGCCATGGTCCCTGGGGTAGTGTGGCGTGTCTGTCTGTCCCGTGGTCCCTGTGTGTAGGGTGGTGTGTGTGTCTGTCCCGTGGTCCCTGTGTGTAGGGTAGCGTGTCTGTCTGTCCCGTGGTCCCTGCGTGCAGGGTGGCGTGTCTGTCTGTGCCGTGGTCCCTGCATGTAGGGTGGTGTGTCTGTCTGTCCTGTGGTCCCAGTGTAGGGTAGGGTGGTGTGTCTGTCTGTCCTGTGGTCCCTGTGTAAGGTGGTGTGTCTGTCTGTCCCGTGGTCCCTGGGTGCAGCGTAGCGTGTCTGTCTGTCCCGTGGTCCCTGTGTGTAGGGTGGTGTGTCTGTCTGTCCTGTGGTCCCTGTGTAGGGTAGTGTGGCGTGTCTGTCTGTCCCGTGGTCCCTGTGTGTAGGGTGGTGTGTCTGTCTGTCCCGTGGTCCCTGGGGTAGGGTGGTGTGTCTGTCTGTCCCGTGGTCCCTGTGTGTAGGGTGGTGTGGCGTGTCTGTCTGTCTGGGTGCAGGTGGGGCCTGCTCGGTAGCGAGGCTGGGGCAGGCTCCATCTGTCTCTGAGGCTGCAGAGACTGCAGTCTCTATCGAGGGGACCCCTCACTGCGCCTGGCCGCCTGTCCACCCTCTGCATCTGAGCACCAGCTCCCAGGCGCTGCCAAGCCCTCACCCAGAAAGGCCTGCTGATCTGCAGGCCACTGCCAACTCCTCTAAACAGCCTCAAAATGTGTGGCCGCCTGACCGGCTGGGGCTGGGGCCCTGGA